GAAAGGAAGCAGGACATGCAGGAGAGGTAAAAGCCACAAGCCTGGGGGCAGCACATAGATGAATAGGAATGGGTTAATTTAAGTTGTAAGAGCTGGTTAGTAATAAGTCTGAGCTACTGGCCAAACATTTATAATTAATAATAAGTCTCTGGGTGGTTTTTTGGGAAGTGGCTGGTGGAACAGGGCTGATCTTGGTCCAGATGAAAAACTCTGCCTACACTCAGAGACAGCTAAATGGCATGGACACAAGGGAAAGTGTGTGGAGGGTGGGATATGCAAAGTGTCCTTGGAACACACACTCTGTGGTTTCTAAAAAATGTCTTATTGTATACTCAGAATTGAGGCAATCATCCATCAATGCCGTTTGAACTCTCTCTAGCACTCCTGCCCTCCTTAGAGGCAAAGTAGCACAGCTGAGAGTTCTGATCCCCTCATCATGGCTGGCTCCTCTAGCGGCCAGCCCCATCTCTAATCTATCCAGGAACCCCAGATAAGCATCATCTCACCAGCGTTCAGGCAACATTCCTTGTCCTAGTTAGGGTTACTACTGCAGTGATGAAACACCATAACCAAAAGCAACTAAAGAATGAAAAAGTTTATTTCACTCACAGTTCCACATCATTGTTCATCATTGAAGGAAGTCAGGACAGGAACCTGAAGGCAGGAGCTGATACAGAGGCCATGGAGTGGTGCTGCTTACTGGCTTGCTCCCTATGGCTTGCTCAGCCTGCTTTCTTAAAGAATTTAGGACTACCTGCCCAGAGATGGCACCACCCACCACGGGCTGCCCCCCCCCCAATCTCTTATTAAGAGAATGTCTACAGGCTTGCTTACAGCCTGATCTTTATAGAGACGTTTTCTCAGTTGAGGTTCCCTCCTCTCAGATGACTCTAGCTTGTGTCAAGTCCAAGCCAGCCAGCTCACTCCTATCACTGGGAAGAGCACAAGTGTTTTAGAAGCCGTGTTTCATGAATCACAGGCCAGAACTGACTTTTCATTATTAATATACTGTAGTAAAGAACTCTAAAGAGTTAAAATTTTAAACAAATCAAACAGTGCAATCAGAAAACAGACAAAAGATATGCCTGACAATTCACCAAAGGGGATACACAGATGATAAACACATAGAAAGATGTTTCATGTTATTTGCAAATGCCCAGAGGCCCAGCATTTATGTGAAGAACACATACAAGGCCCTAGGTTCGATCTCCAGTGCTGCCAAGAACACAAATAAAACAATCTATTCAGTATTCAGTATTCAGAAAAACAGTATTCAACCACGAAACACCTATAAGAATGACAAATATAATATTACAAATAATGATGTCTGATACTGTGAAGGATGTGGAGACAGTGATCATGCACAGCTGATGGGAATGTAAGACTATACTTATCCTCAAAAGTAGTTTGGTAATTCGTTCCTTTGATGCTTATGTGCACTTTACACATGATCAAGAAAGAACACTTGGGCAGCCGGGTGGTGGTTGTGCACACTTTTAATCCCAGCATTTGGGGAGGCAGATGCAGGCAGATCTCTGTGATTTCGAGGCTAGCCTGGTCTACAGAGTGAGCTCCAGGACCGCCAGGGCTGTTACACAGAGAAACCCTTTATTGAAAGAAAAAAAAAAAAAAGGAAAGCTGTAGAAAGCTATAGCTTTAATAAGTGCTGACTTGGGAGCTCAAATGGCATCGAAACACGCTCTTTCTCAGTGTTTCACTCTGCTTTCTTATCATGCAGACTTCTATGACCTATCAAAGACAGAGTGAATCAGAAATCCTCAGAGTTAGACTCTAGAATCTATTTTAAAATACAATGATTTCCTGGCAGAATGTCATACACTTTAAATGTTGGTTAAATGTTTCACTCCTGTGGCAACCTAATAGCAAACTTACTGCTGGCAGGGACAGCCCTTCTGACTCATTCACAGCTACAATTGTACTAGAAGGACATGAAGAAAGCACTGTGCAAAGTCTGGTAGGTCTTGGAACGCTGAGATCCTTGTTCCTATTGGGGTCAAGAGGTATTTGAAAAATGATTCCATACCCTTTGGGAAAGTCTGGGTTGGTGAAAGTATAGTTCAAAGTCTTTTAGCAATCATGCCCAGAGAGTGCTCATAAATTATTAATAAATGGGGCTGGAGAGATGGCTCAGCAGTTAAAAACACTGACTGCTTTTCCAGAGGTCCTGGGTTCAATTCCCAGCACCCACATGGCAACTCACAACTGTCTGTAATGCCAAGATCTGACACTCTCACATAGACATAAATGCAGACAAAACACCAATGCAAGTAAAATAAAAATAAATAATTAAGAAAAAAAAGGAACACAAGCTGAGAAAGCCATGGCAAGCAAATCAGGAAATTGTGTTCTCCAGTGGCCTCTGTTTCATTTAAAATGATTAATAAATGATTATATATTATAGTTAGTTAAGATGAAAATCTTATACAGTAGTTCAAATAGCTCCGTTCTTAGTCCCACCTTGAACAATGATGATAAATATATCTGCACTTGACAAAACAAGGAGACAGCACAGGATGAAATATGTTTTAAGGGAGAGTGCTGGAATTAAGGGTATGGTGGCACACACCTGTAATTCCAGCATTCAGAAGGTGGGGGGCAGGAATATCAGAAGTTCAAGCTACACACTAAGTTTGAGGCCAGCCTGGGTTACATGAAATAAGATGTGTGTGTGTGTGTGTGTGTGTGTGTGTGTGTGTGTGTGTGTGTGTGTGTGTGTATTGTACGATAACATGGCCACCCTAACATTAATTTGATTTTGTTTTGCTTCTGGTCCTCTCATTCTGTTTGAAGCACTTTTTGTATATGTGCTCTTGGCTCCACTCTCCCTGAGTGTGAACACTTGGGCTGCCAGTTTGTCTGGACTTAGAACTATAACACAAATCCAGCAGGCAAAAAATGGTTCATTTTTAATGCTTGGTGAAAAATAACCCACATTCTGGCTTGAGTAACACTAATCAAACTTGGCCACTGTACCCATTCATAAATAAATCACAGGGCTAAAGGAACTAGACACTCTGACTGGCCATGTTGGAGACCTGATTCACTTTTTGGAGCTAAAGGTAGTGCCAGCCACCTCTGAGTCACATTGACACTCAGAATAGGGGAGAATCATTGCTGCCCAGAAAGTCTGATTACCACTATCACTCAAAAAGAGACGGGCTGCTGAGCTACAGACACCAGTGAAGTAAGCCATGGCTCCTACTTACCCCGGGCATGCATTTGACTCAGGAAGATGACAGACAGGGGTACAAATGACACAAAAGTTTTCATGGAAGACCAACAAGTCAATGGAGACCAGGGTTGTTGTAGCTAGAGTTTTCCTGCCTGTCCCACAGTCAGGACAAATCTCTCTCACCCACCAGTCCCACAGCTGCTCAGACCCAACCAAGTAAACACAGAGACTTATATTGCTTACAAACCATATGGGCGTGGCAGGCTTCTTGCTAACTGTTCTTACAGCTTAAATTAATCCATTTCTATAAATCTATACCTTGCCACGTGGCTCGTGGCTTACCGGCATCTTCACATGCTGCTTGTCATGGCGGCGGCTGGCAGTGTCTCCCTTTCCCTTCCTGTTCTTTCTTTTCTCCTCTCTGTTAGTCCTGCCTATACTTCCTGCCTAGCCACTGGCCAATCAGTGTTTTATTTATTGACCAATCAGAGCAACACATTTGCCATACAGAACATCCCACAGCAGGTTGTAGCTAAGGAAGATGTCAGAAGTTGGTAACCGAGTGTCTGAGTCTAGAAAGGCCCACAAGTTTCTGTGAAGTATAAAAGGAGGGGACGAGAGCTATTTGAAGGTGTGTGCAGGTGGTCTCTTTACACAATTTGTTTCCCTTGAAAACAGAACTTATGCCTTATTTTTGTGTCCCTAGAGTCCAGTATGGCACTTGATGTTGTAAGCATTCACTGAAAGTTTGGTGAATTTGTTAATATTCCTTCATTAGCATTCAATCTGAATTCCAACAAAGATCTGGAAATAGATATTAAACTTCATTATTCTGAATAGGAAACTAAGAGAGAGGGGTTAGGTCACTACCACCACAGTGCCAGCTAATGGTAATGCCAAGTTAACCCTTTACAGATATAGGCAGGCCAAGCTAAACCCAAACCAGACCTAAGAATGCCACAGATCTGTGCCTTGCCTTTTGAGAAATGAAATGAGACATGAACTGAAGTTTACAAAAAAAGTTAGCATTTCTTCTTATAATGGCCCAAATGTCAGATTTTCTGCTAATGATTTCAGATGCTGAGTGGTAAAAATTTATCTTAGAGTATTATTAAATAAATAAGTCCTTGGGGGAAAATGAGGGAAAACAATGTCTGTTTGGTGAGTTGCTAAGCAACACCACACATGCCAGGAACTCCTTTTGGACTTCCTATTGAAGGTGGAGACGTCCAGACCAACGGGTACTTTGCTTGTTTCTGTCTCACTAGTTTTCACTGGAAAATTAAAGTGAACCAGTAAACAAACCTCCAAAATTAACAGCGCTGACATTGGATGGATGGACACTGCTGTGTGTTAAATTTAACTGGACTCTTCCTAAGGCTGCTGTTTACAAGTTTCTACAGCAGTACTCAGACTAAATGTGGAATCTGTACAGTGTGTCCCTAGGAAAGCCTACCACAAGGATAAAAAGAAACCAAACAGCATCCATTCCCCACAGTATTAGATTACTGAAATCCATAATACAATAGGATTGTGGTAGCTAGGTGAAGAAAAATATAATTCTGTGATTCCCACTTTAAATAAGGGAAAAATTTATGAGAAGTAGGTGTTTGACTATTTAAAGGAAGTCATTCCATCCACAGGGAGAAAGACTGACAGTCTCAGGCCTTGTTTGAGCAAAAGCCAGTTGCTCTGTAAAGGATAAACACATTAAAGTAAAACCAGAAAGGGATCATTAACAAACAGACAAGAATGAAGAGCAGGAAACATGTTCACTGAGGGGTCCTGGGCTCATGAAAGCCAAGACTAAAGTTAAGTCAGATTCAGTACAAAAGGGACCAGGTGCTACTTGAGTTATTGTGCATTAAAACTGCAGAGAGTCTCTTAAAATTACTTTTCTTGTAAGTAAAATTGAGGTAAACACACACCCAACTCTAAGTTACTTGTTTAGATACATTTTCAACCAATCTAAATTACTTTTGATGGTGAGGATGTCATTTTAGTAAGAATGTCTCACACTTTAAGTATTGACACTGTAAAAACACACAGACTTATTACTATGTTTATTAACTTTGTGATTTGTTTATCAGAATCACATCTGAGGCCTTCCATCCCGTGGTCCTACTGCTTTACCTACCCATTTCAGCCCAGGGAGTCTCTCTTACGAATCCCCTCTTGACTTGGAAACTTCCACTTTTAGCTAGATACTAAATAAGTCCCCCTTTGGCTGTTATTAAACTCAGGATGAAGATCTCTCCAGTGAGATTGTAACTCCATGAAGGATCTGCCTATTCCATCCTAACTAAAGTCATACATTTATTATATAGGTAAAAACACAGAATTCGACATTCAAGGTAAATATAAAGTAATTGAAAGGATTGGTTTCTCTATTCTTCCTTGACTAAGTCACTTTTCCACCCAGACGCTCCTGCTTAAACCAATGGACTCCACGTGTACTAGCAAGAAATGCTGAGGACAGACGAGAAAAGCACATCTCGGCAGTGACCTGCTGTCTTCTGGTGGGGAAAACATCCCAAAGGCAAGCAAACAGCAAAACCCTTCTGAAGGGTCGGGAGACCCCAGCCTTAACCAAAGCTCCAGCTCTGTGACTAGAGATTCCTAAGCCTCAGCATTTGCTCAGCTCACGACCTCTTCCCCATGAGGACTAGGTTTCTCAGAGATCGTCTCCTGCTCCTAGCGGTGTGTCTCATGCACGCTGGACTCTCAGGAAGTATTTCCTCTACCATCTTGAGTTTGCCATGGATCCCCTGCTCTCAACAAATACACAGTCCAGCTGGCGCAAAGATGACCAACAAGCAGTTGTAGTGGGCCAAAAATAAATATTATAATTAAGACGTAAGAGCAAACACAGCTTTAACAGTACACAGCATTACCATGCATACAGCAATGTTCCATACGCCTTACTGATGTAATCTGAGTGTTGATGCTTCCCAAATTCATAGGCTGAAATCCTGAAGTGTCACAGGGATGGTAGAAAGAGGTGGGATCTTTATAGGGAGTCATGGAGACGGATGTCTTATGAGGCCAAAGGAGTTTGTGTGGGTTAATTTTCCATGGCTGTGACAAAATGTCTGAGATAAGTCAGAAGGGTGAAAAGATTGTTTGGGTCATGGTTCCAGAAGGTTCAGATCATGGTTTATTAGCTCTGTTCGTTTAGACATTTAGACTTCTGAGTGAGAATACCATTGTAGGTCACACACACACACACACACACACACACACACACACACACACACACACACATACACAAAACGGTGGAACAATGCTACTCGTGACCAGAAGATAGGGTAGGAGAGGAGAGGACAGGAGGAGAGGTGGGGGGAAAGACCTGGGTCCACATGCCCTTCAAGAAGGAGTATGTCCCTGATGACCTAATGTCACTGGCTCCCACCTCACAGAGTTCACCACTTTCCAACAGGATCATGATCTGGTGACTGAACCTTTAACAGACAAACCTTGAAGGACATTTAAGATCCAAATCCCAACACAGGCTTTGTGTCCCTTTCACCACATGAAGATACATCTAAGAGGTGCCTTATGACTCAGAAAGGACTTTCCACACATACCAACTCTGCCAGTACCATGCATTGAAACGTCCGCTTCTAGAACTGTGAGAAGTAAATGTTTCTAAGCCACGTGGTAATGGTAATTTTGTTACAGCATCCGAAAGGGATGGTCTTAGACACATGTATCAATTCACCTGTTCACTACAAACCTACGAGGCAGGGGTTACTATTATTTCTATTTTCAGAGGCACACGTGAAGTAACTTCCCCCCAGGTCCTGCAGTTGCCTGCTTCTATGGTACTGATAATGAATTAGTGTGGTATAAACACAAAGACTGGAGCATCGCTGAAATTCTAGAAAAGTATTATATGACCCATTATGACTAAATTTTGTGTACCCCCAAATTCATACATTGAATTTCTAAGTTCTAGTTTGTCAGTATATGACTATACTTGGTCACTGGGTCTTTCTCAAAGCAACTAAATTTAAATCATACAATTATAGTTGTCTGTAATCACTATGATGCAGAGGAGGAGGAGGAGGAGGAGGAGGAGGAGGAGGAGGAGGAGGAGGAGGAGAAAATATCCAAGGGAGGACAGCGGGGAGACACAGGCAAAATGAGCCATCTGCAATCCAAGAGCGACCTCAGGGGAGGCCAACCAACCTATTCTGAGAAAATATATTTGTATTATTGAACACAGCATGAGGTAGGTTGTTTTAACAAGCCTAGCACACTAACATCGGATCAGATCATGCACATTTGCTAAACTACGGAAATTAAAAGGTGTCACTTATGCTAGAATTCCATAGACTCCTTTATGCATCAACATGGCCGATCCTATAATCTGGCAAGAGTGGGGACGGGGAGAATACAGGCGTCATAGCACTCTTGAAGGTTTCTAGTTCAGTCTTTTCCCCGAAGCTAAAGAAGGTGGTGAGGCTGGTTTAGTCCTGGAATGGCAGAAGAGAGGTGGAACTGGCAGAATCATTCACTCCAGTGTGGGATGACCACGCTAGCAGCGGAAATTAAAAGCAGAGAGTTCATCAGGGAGACCAGTGAGGGTAGAAATGACAGGGAGACACGTGAGGGACCTGAAGAGGAGGAGGAGGATGAGAATAACCTAAGAGAAGCCTTAGAAGTGAAGCGAGAGAGGCACAAGCCTCAACCAGGGTTATGGGATTTCAAAGAGATGGGGACACCATAGAAAATTGAGCTTGGAGGAGGCTCAGCATGAACCAGCTGCACAGCCTTAAGTTGGATGTGCCAGCTGGGGCGGAGGGAGGAATGAACATCTAGACCTAAGGCCTGTGGCAGGATTCCGTTCCTCAGATCCCAGTGCTGAGCAGGAGCGGAAATGAGATAATGGTGGAGGCATGAGCGATCCGAGTCCCAAAACCCAGTCCTTGGCATCCTCAGGATGTCTGGAGAGAGGAGACAGGGGAAATCACCTAATCAACAGGAGAATCGGGGATGAGGACCACCAAGTGCAAGGCGGGACAGGCTTAATGACCTGTTCTGTTTTTTAAATGAAGGATAGATTTCTTTGCCCTCCTGGAGACTTCAGTTCAAGCTAGATTTCACCAGTTCACACTATGCAACAAGAGGATCACAGTCTTTACTCTTCTCTTTGGGCCTTGGTAAACCTAGGCAGGGGATGGACATGGCCTAAGCATTATCTCGAGGTCCTGCAGGCATGGACAAACCCAGGACTCCTTTTCCAGAGGAGCTGGCCGGCCAAGCACTCCCTCCTTTCGCGAGCCACCCCATAGGAACGCGGGCGCCGTTCGGGACCCGGCTCCACTTGGAACGCTGGCCCGGGAATCGCGGGACGCGCGCTGGCCGCCAGGGCCACTTCCCCGCGCCTGAGGCCAGCCGAGGCGAAGCCTGGCCCCGGGAGGCGGGCCGAGGGGGCGGGCGGGGGCGGGGAGCAGGCGGCGGACCCCGGGAAGAAAAGAACATGGCTCCTGCGGCAGAGGGCAGCGCCGCTCCGGGGCGCGCGGGGCGCCAGTGACCGCGATGGTGAACTCCAACCGCGTGCAGCCGCAGCCGCCCGGGGATGCCAAGCGCTCGCCCGCACCGCGAGCTCCCGGGTCAGGCCGGCTGGCTGCAGGAGGTGCGGCTGGGGGCGCCGGCCTGGCCGTCCCGGGAGGCCTCCGGGAGCAGCGGGGCCTGGAGATCGAGATGGAGCGCATCCGGCAGGCGGCTGCGCGGGACCCCCCGGCCGGAGCCTCGGCCTCCCCTTCTCCTCCGCTCTCGTCGTGCTCCAGGCAGGCGTGGAGCCGCGATAACCCGGGCTTCGAGGCCGAGGAGGACGACGACGACGACGAGGTGGAAGGGGAGGAAGGAGGGATGGTGGTGGAGATGGACGTGGAGTGGCGCCCGGGCAGCCGCAGGTCGGCCTCCTCCTCGGCTGTGAGCTCGGCGGGCGCCCGCGGCCGGGCGCTGGGGAGTTACCGGGGCGCCGGGCACCCGAGCGGGAGGAGGCGCCGGCTAGAGGACCAGGGCGCGCCGTGTCCCAGCCCCGCAGGCGGCGGGGACCCGCTGCATCGCCACCTCCCCCTGGACCGGCAGCCGCCCCGAGTGGCCTGGGCCGAGAGGCTGGTGCGCGGGCTGCGAGGTAAGAACGGGACCCGCGGTGTCCGGTGAGAACTGCCTGTCTGCGGGCCCGAACCCTCGTCCTCCGCGTTCCCGCCTCCTTCCCGAGCGCCCTTCCCACCTCCGCTCACTTTGCGTGATTTCCGGTACCCAGCGCGGAATTCCACTGCGCCCTTGTTGGTGCGAATTCCTCAGGCACCTCCCTCTCCCTTTAGGATGCTAGCACACTTGGGAAAATAGGAGAAAGCCGTTTTCGGGAGTATCTGGGGCTTGTGGAGGACGAAGAGAGACTATTCTAGTACAACTGATGATAGTTGGAACTGTGTGTTTGCTAAATGTCACAAAATGAGGATCAAGTTTATTCCAGCTCCCATGCTTTTCATTTGGCGGCCATGCGCCATGTCCCTTCAACTAATCTAGGAGGGGACCTACAGCGTTACCCATGTTTTGAGAGTGATGCCTTTAGATGGGCAGGACTGGTGGAGAGGAGAGACGTTGACGACATGAATACAGTAACGCCTGTAGAAACGCAGTTTTGACCATTTCTCATTCTAGATGTATTTCTTAAACAGTTGCAAAGAAAACATTACCCCTACCCGGTGTGTGTTTAAAGACTGGAAGTCTGTTTTAAAATAATGTTTTCGGCCATTCCAACAAGATGATTGCTTCTCCAGATACCAGCTGGTTCGTGTGTCAGCCTTCCGTGCACACAACTCTCCACAAGGCTGGAGAGGACACAGATTTTCCAACAGCAGATTGAATCCCGTGTTCTCAAACTTTTGCCACCAGAGGCATCTGTGGAAAAGGGTTTTGCTAACTCCCATCCACCTAGTTATCTCACTCCCCACCTTTAAGAGTTTTATCCCGATATTTCTTGTTGTCCCCCCCTCCTCTGTCTGCAATTCCCAGTCCAGCACAGAAACTATCCAGATGTTGAAGCAATGTGGTTTAGACAGGCCTACATTTAAATCCTGGTTCTCCTACTGTTTGACCTTGAACATGTTATTTAACTGCTCTGACCCTTAAGTTTTCTTTTAGAAAAGAAATGGGCAGTACATAACCCTCGATGTGTTGAAATAATCAAATGAGAAGGTGTCTAAACTGGGCAGCAAATCTTTGCTGTGTTGTGTTTCACGATTATTAAAGATGATGAAAGTGCCTTTTTACACAACTTTTATATGTGTGTGCTAGTTAATGTGATTCGGGGCATTGTGAAAAGCAAAGCATCCTTTTGAGGTAACATTAATAGAATATTAATAGAATAGGAAAACACTACTGCTTTCTTAATGCCTGGAACCGTATGAAACAGATTCTTACTTTAAACTATGTAAGAAGTGCTTTTAAAAAGCATTCACCAACGTGAGATAAAAGTTTCTTATAAGCTAATAGATAATGGAAAGTCACATGATTTTAAATCAGCTTGAGCAGTTGGTCATATACTTAACTTTGAACTCAATAATGAGAGGCAATGAAATAAAATGTATACTTTTATATTTAGACATATATATGTTTATTTTTTTAAAGAAGAATTTCAGTAAACTCACAATGAGACAGATAGGCTTGATCGGTGGGAACCTTGTAGAGGTTCTGAGAGGAGGTGGGGGGCACTGGAGAGGCCATGGTAGCTGTGAGTTCCTTTCCAGGGTCTTGCCCTGAGCGTCTCTGCATCTGTTCCCTCGGTCATATCTAATAAACTTTAATAGTAATAATAATATAATGGGATGGTGCATCCATCGAAGGTGTAACTCACCGGAGAGCAGACTTGGGAAACTGTTAATTATAGAAAATTTGGAACATTTTATTTCTGTTATGAAGAAGTGTAGTTGGCATTCTTGTGACTTATTAAGTAAGCCACATGTATTAAATATTTAGCATGAAGATGGCGTTCTGCTAGCAGCCGTAAAAGAAACTAAGCTACAGTAACCTATCACTATTTTCCCAAGGACAGGGACCAGAAATGTAAAATAACTAACAGTGAATGGACTTATCCTCTTAGCAGTGAGTAGTTGGGGTTGCAGGACTGTCTGAAGCCTCGTTCTGGGGTACCCTGCATCTAACTGGGCCATTAAAATGTATCTCTAAATAGTAAGAAGCAGTTGGAGGCTTCTCAGCCGCAGCAGAGAATGCTGGAGGAACGGGACTCAGCAGCTTGGCATCCTGGATGGTTCCCAGAGGTTGATAGCCGGGCAGGGAGACAGCAGCCAGGCAGGTGTGGCAGGGGGGCCACCAGTGAAGAGGTGTTGGAAACCTGGACCAGAGGAGGCAAGGACAACTGAGTGATTTGATGACAGTGCCCCAGGCATCATCTTGGAAATGACACTCATTACTGTGACTCCTGCTGCACTGGCAAATTCTTAATCCACAAAAATAATGATACTGTCAGGATGGCTGAAAAATATAATGTAGAGGATTACTCTTAGTTTTCCTGAAATAAGCAGAACTTGGCACTGATGTATACTGTTTGATAAGTGTCCATCACTGTTTTGTCTCATATTTAACTTGCATTTCCCCTGCCTTCCCTTTTGAGGTCTACAGAGGAGCGTATTCAGTTATTGGAAAGGTTATGGAGGTTTATAAAGGTCTGAAGTTGGCTGTACGAAATAGTTCCACATCAAAGTGGTAACCAATACGGCTCTCCATTCCTAGCTGCAGCTCATGATCCTTGTGTTCAGTGGCTGATTAATTTGGCCTGTTTTAAATCTCTAGAATCCATTTGTCCTTCATCACCAGCCAAGCGTTATCCTAGATAGGAAGTTTTCAAGTGTGCGTAGGGGAACTTTTGCCCCTTCAGGAATATTTGGAAGTATCTGAATGTGTTGGGGCCTGTGACAACCCCAGGATGGGAGGAGGGATGCACCTGCTGGGTAGAAGGCAAGAGTGGTACTGGCATCTTACAGAGCACAGGGTGGCCTCTTACTCCGCTACAGCACACCATCCCACCCAGCACGTCAGGGGTAGAGAGGGCGAGACACTGTGCCCTAACCTGTGAAGTACACCATCCCACCCGGCACGTCAGGGGTAGAGAGGCTGAGACCCCGTGCCCTAACCCAATAGGTACACCATCCCACCCAGCATGACAGGGGTAGAGAGGCCGAGACCCCGTGCCCTAACCCAATAGGTACACCATCCCACCCAGCATGACAGGGGTAGAGAGGCTGAGACACCGTGCCCTAACCCAATAGGTACACCATCCCACCCGGCATGTCAGGGGTAGAGAGGCCGAGACCCCGTGCCCTAACCCAATAGGTACACCATCCCACCCGGCATGTCAGGGGTAGAGAGGCCGAGACCCCGTGCCCTAACCTGTGAAGTGGCAATGAATTACCCACTGTACTCAGTGCTCTTGACGCCTTTTTTTATGGTCATAGTTTGGTCCATAGGGTGTCCCCTATATTGTAGAAGCTATCCTCACACCATCTTCCTGATGAGGGAACCAAGGCTTTTATATCTTAAATGACTTCCCTAAGGTCACAACTATTAATTATTGGAACTAGGATTTAATTACAGGCGTTGGAGCCCGAAGCTGTTCTTGCTATGACAGATACCTGCCGTGCTGATACCTAACTTCAGTCAGCCATTTTTCATATTTTCCTACTTTTTGAATGTTGATTCTTCAGGACACTTAGAGTTAACCATATCATCGACTCTGTGTATCCTAATTCCTAGTTTATCTAAAGGGGAAGAACCTACTTTCTTTTTTTAATTGTGCCAAAGTTCGTGCAGCATCACATCTACCATTTTAGCCAGAGCTCGGTGGGCATTAGATATATTTCTAACAGTGTGGTTTACTTAACTGTTTTTTCCCCAGACTTTTTCATAATCATGTACAAATCCACAGCCAGTGAAATCAGAATTTTCCTTGCTGTGTCTGGCTTATTTTGTGTAGCCTGGTTTTAAGCTCCTGCCTGCAACAGTGTGCACCCGAACTTTGTTTCTAGAGATGACTGACTCCTGGTTCGTTGTGTATGTGAATTACATTTTGTTTATCCATTACTTAGTTGAGGGACATGTTTTTTAATTTAAATTTAGTATTTTTATTATTTTTGAGAGTTCCTTTCATGCATACAGTGTATTTTTATCATATTCACTCACACACACCCCATTTCCATAACTTCTCCCTGATAATGGACATGTTTTGGGTGTTTTGTAAAATTTTGGCCTTTTGAGACAGGGTCTCACAGTACAAGCTGGCCTGGGACTTTCCATCCCCTGCTTCATCCCTCCAGGAGTTGACTACTAGGATTACAGTTAAAATAATACCCCACTCGGCTCCCTGGAACTTTCTTGAGATCTTTGGAGCTTTTCCAAAGTATCGACATATCAGGGTTTTTTTTTTGTGTGTTTGTTTGTTTGTTTGTTGTTTTGTTTTGTTTTCTTTTGAGACGGGGTTTCTTCATGTAGTTTTGGTGCCTGTCCTGGATCTCGCTCTGTAGACCAGACTGGCCTTGAACTCACAGAGATCCGCCTGGCTCTGCCTCCTGAGTGCTGGGATTAAAGGCGTGTGCCACCGCCAACCGGCGACTTATCAGTTTTTGAAGGCGGCACCTCAGTATAGAAATGTTTCAGAGGCGGGTCCTAGGCTAGACCTTGTGGGTAACTGGGGGCCGTCTCTCAGACTTGATGCTTACAGCCAGTGTGGAGTCTGGTCTCCTTACCATGGGGTCCGTGGCACCCAATCTTGAGCACCTGCTCTCAACTCTTCCTCACTACCCATTCCTCAGCCATCCTGTGTGAAATACTGCTGAGAGATGTGGCTGAGCTGATGGGCAGGCTGCCCTCCCAGGTGACTCGTCTCCTATGATCCTTTCTAGTGTTCTGTCTTCCTGCTATCTCAGTTACTACTCCAGATACTTCCCTCCTGGAACCTCCCTAAGGACAGAGCCATGGTTTCGCCAAAAATATAGGGGAGTGCTCAACCCCTTCACTCACAGGCATCACTGTGGCCTGTGTCCTCATGGGTGGTGGACATACTTTATGCCTGTGGTGGCCACGTAGACCAGGAGTAACTCTCCAGAACCTGATGGTACCAAAGGGTAGCCAGAGCCTTCCTCCTCATGACTGCTACAGAAGGTCCTGGCCTGATTCTGCTCAATCTGCCTGGTAGAGGCCGAGGGACACCCAGCTTCTAGTTGTGACCGAGGCAGGAAACAAGGATACCTGAGGGCTGATACTGGCCTTCAGCCCCAGCTGATGAGTAGAAGGCCCCCCGCAACCCAATGGGAGGAGGGGCTTATTCATTAGTTTTTTCTTTTCTTTTCTTTTCTTTTTCCCTTCACATTTGGCTACTGGAACTTTCCCTTGGGCTAGGGAGATAGCAGCGTCCTAAGTTTGATCCCCAGGACCGATATTTAAAAAGTTGAGTGTGTGGTGATGACATGTGCTTCCAATCCCACCAGCGGGGAAGCCAAGACAGGGCTGTCTAGCTCACTTGGCAACTTCCTGGCCGGCAAGGTGGTGGGGGTGGGGTGTGTGTGTGTGTGTGAGGGGGAGGCCTCTGTCTCAAAACCAAGGTGGACAGTGTACTGGATGGTTTTGTGTCAGCTTGACACAAGCTAGAGTCATCAGAGGAAGGAGTCTCAGTTGAGGAAATGCCTCCATAAGATCCAGTTGTAAGGCATTTTCTTAATTAGTGATTGATGGGGGAAGGCCAGCCCATGGTGGGTGGGGCCATCCTTAGGCTGGTGGTCTTGGGTTCTATAAGAAGGTTGGCTGAGCAAGCCATGGGAAGCAAGCCAGTAAGCAGCACCCCTCCATGGCCTCTGCATCAGCTCCTGCCTCCAGATTCCTGCCCTGTTTGAGTGCCTGTCCTGACTTCCTTCAGTGATGAACAGCAATGCTGAAATGTAAGCCTAATAAATCCTTTCCTCCCCAACTTCCTCTTTGGTCTTGGTGTTTCCACTGCAGCAGTGGAGACCCTCACACAGACAGTGACTGAGGAGAGGCCCCCGAGGTTGTCCTCGGGCCTCCGTGTGTACCTGTGCATCCCACATGTGGACACACAGACTTCCACTTTAGCTGTAATCCGCACCCTCCATCATCTCTTCCATTTCCTTCTTTCATTTGCACCAAACTTTTGTACAGTTTCCATTTTCATTGCTGTCTTTGCCCTCTAGGGTGTGATGAAGTCGCACTAGTAATGTGATCATGTAGTTAATAAACTTGTGGAGAATTGCTGCTGTGATAATAGATCCTAGACGTGCGTGGATGAATAACACACGGCCCCAAATCTTAAGCTGCTCAGATTCCAAGTCTAGCAGGGGAAATGGCTGCAAATCAGTAGTTAGAGTGCCGAGCGCTGGATATGGGAGGAACTCAAGGAAGAGGTAATCTATCTCACCCGAGGAGGTCAGTGAAGGTCTTCACAGGGATTCAAAGTGAGCCACACTTGAAGCGGGGATGGATTCTGGCAGGGAACAGTAGCAGGAACAAGGCTGAGCAGACCTGAATGTTGCATTAGGGAGCTGGTACACTCTTTCCTGTTGGCATTTGGAGTAATGGAGACTTCAGACAGGACTAGTATAACCATATGCCAGACTGAAGAATGTAGAGGATGCAGTGAGTGGATGGATGGTCAGGAGAGAGCTGACACATAAAAAAGGGACCAGAATCGCAAGTCAGCATACAGGCTGTGATGGTATAGGCCTAGATTAAAGACAGAAGCCGTCAGAGTTACAGATTCAGGCTTGATGTGGTGGTGCGTGTCTGCATTCCCAGCACTCAGGAGGCAGAGGCAGGAGAAGCATTACAAAGTTCAGGTCAGACTACGCTACAGAATGAGACCCTGTCTCAACGCATAAAATAAAATAATTGCAGAACCAACTCCATGCGAAGAAGAACAAGAGGAGAGCTGCCTTTGAGATGGAGCTCAGATCTGATGCCGTTTGCTCAAATCGGAAGACGTTTCTAGAGGGGGGAAAAGAGCGTTCATTTGGGGCATGTGAATCTGAGCTGCCATGTAAAGTGCACCTTAAACCACTCCTGCCTGTCAGCCTAACTGGGGAAGTCGTTTGCAACAGGACACTGATGCAGGGGGGTCTCTGAGAATCTCCTAAGACCTTTATATATACCCAGTAGGGGGGGACAATTAAAGATTGTTAATATTTAGGAGGTAGGTAGGGTAATTTAGAAAAAGTAAATACATGATAGCATATAGAGATAAGAAAAGGGGGATGTTTCTTTTCATTTCCTTTTAAGAGATTGAATTAAATTGCCATAATTCATTGTAAATTTGGCTAGAGAAAAATCTGACATCGTTTTTGTCTGTTTCTATTTAAAGGTCAGAGAATACCATTTGTATGAAATTATGTCTATTCCTTACTGCATGGCTGTCTATAAACCATTGGAAGGAATAAAATCACTGACCACGCAGCAGTAAAGATGCTAAAGAGACTAGCAGTCACCACGTGTATACATACTGTAGGCCTGGCCTCCAGGAGAGCTCTACCCAGAGACAGAAGAACGGTTGTGCCCGGGGCTGCAGAGCCTCATCCTTGGCTGCAGTGTTAGCCTGACTTGTAATTTTCCATGTCATCTACATTTGTAAAAACCCTCGAATATGATAGAGTTTCAATGAATAAACATTCCGCTTGCTGCATTTCTTCTGCATGAGCAATTCCCTGACAAATACCAGCTCTTGGCAGCAGCAGACCTGGTCATAAACTGTGCTCAGCTCTCAGAGTGGTGAAACCTGAGATGAGTAACATGGTGTCCTTGAAATTTAGATGCTAATTTTTTAAAGGAAGAAAAGGAAAATGGAATATCTAAATTTAATAGAGTAGAGCTCTTGTGTTGTTATGTTGTTATAAAAAAGTCTGTCAAGCTTAATGATGACCTCATTTCCTCGATGTGAAAAACCTTACTGAATTCCCTTTCTCCCTGTGGCTTGTTCCTGGCTCAAATGTGGTCTAAATTTGGGTTAATGAAGGGGATAAGGTCTAGAGAGAATGACAGGTGACATATGGGAACCAGGTTTGTGTCTGTTCATAGCCTAGCTGGAAGGATTGAGAAGTTAGTGTTTTAGGGAAGATATTAAGGCTCTCCCAAGGATCTGGCATTGTGACTTGACCACACTGTTTATTAACAGGGGCTTGGACAGTCACCATACTGCCTGCTGGCTGAATCCCAAACCTGTCATTCTCTCCAGTAACCTCTCCGACGGTTACATCATCTTTACTTCGCCAGACTGACACTTTCCATCTGCTGAACACAGAACATGGCTGCTGATCGTCGTTTTTCCCAAACGAAAGACAGAGGAGCCGCATGAGCTGTTGCTGTTAGTTTAAAACCATAGTAATTGGCCGGGCGGTGGTGGCGCACGCCTTTAATCCCAGCACTCGGGAGGCAGAGCCAGGTGGATTTCTGTGAGTTCGAGGCCAGCCTGGGCTACCAAGTGAGTCCCAGGAAAGGCGCAAAGCTACACAGAGAAACCCTGTCTCGAAAAACCAAAAAAAAAAAAAAAAAAAAAAAAAAAAAAAAAAAAAAAAAACCATAGTAATTGGCCCTTTACAAACCTGTTAAACTTAAACAGGCTAAGCGTGGTGGTCAGTTGCCATTGCGTTTCTTACAGGACAAAGAGGAGCCCAGAGCAGCCTTCCTGCCGCCATGCTAGAAGCTCAGTAGGTGTTTCCAAATTGAAATGATGCAACAACTCGGATTTTGTACTGTGGCGACCTCAGCGTGGTTTACCCTGTAGTCACACTGTCTACTTAGCTGAGTTTAGCAGCGGGGACACCAGGTGTATCCCGTACCAAGCAGGAGGAAGAGCTATGTGACACAAATTGCTAAATCTTTTAAATTGCCTTCCTTTTCCGTCCTCCTAAACTTTTAAAGATATTTGCTAATGGTCCTAGAAGTTATAAAAATGACTGGGTTGACTTGGATTTTGTACTTTTGAGGGGGGTGGAGCACGGTGTACACTAAATGAAGTGACTTCTGAGTCACATGCAGTACTCTTATGTATTCATATTTCCATATGAGAACTGGTTTACTATTAATTTCATTTTTCCTTTTGCCACTTGTGAAATTTCTTAAGGAAGATGACCTTGTTTTGTTTGTTTTTCATTATTTTAAAGGTCTCTGGGGAACAAGACTCATGGAAGAGAGCAACACCAACCGAGAGAAATATCTTAAAAGTGTGTTGCGGGAACTGGTCACGTACCTCCTTTTCCTCATAGTCTTGTGCATCTGTGAGTACATGGTTCCCCTCTCTAACGGAAATGTTTTGAAGGTGTTTAGCCTGTCATAATCATAACTGAGAAGTATGTGAGCAACAGGAGGGCCAAGCTAACGATTTTCTTCTCAGTGTGGTTTCTGGTTCAGGTTGGAATTTGGGGACATTCTCTGCTGGCCAGTTCATTGTTAGCTGTGACCGACTTCACTGTGAGATGCACGAGAAAAACCTGCTGTATACAAAAATCCCAGCCAAAGGGTTTGGATGTTAGCTTTCATATCAGTGACTGTCACACTTCCACGTTTTACTCTCAGGAGACAGTGCTCCCCAAACGGCTCCTGTTGGCACATGGCTTCCGAAGTCCCCTTTCTGATCCTGACAGTTTGTGTCACCGCTTTCCTTAAAGTGCAGTGCTTCTTCCAAGTCCTCAGCCATCACCAGGCTTCAAGGGAAACGTAGCTGACCTAGTTTGTATCCCTCCTCTCTTACTTCTGTGTGTTCATGTGTTCTCTGCGGCGGGAGGGGAGGGAAGCCGTAGCTCAAAACCCGTCTCAGGAACTTTCTGGCTTTCGAGTCCAGAAAAGTTACAGGCAAATCATGTCTCCTGAATCAAAGCATGTTGAAGTATGGGTTTTTAAAGTGTGTGTGTGTGTGTGTGTGTGTGTGTGTGTTTGCGTGCATGCATGCATGCATGCATGCATGTGCACACCAGTGTTCTTGTGGAAGTCAGAGGACAACTTTGTAAAGTCATTTCTCTCCTTCTACTTTAGTACGGGTTCCAGCTTGAGCTCGGGCCACTAGGTCTGCTTGTTCGGTGCCTTAACTGCTGTCCATCTTGCTGGCCCTGAAGCACAGAACTCTGTTACGTCTTCTCCGAGGCCTTTTATGGGGACAAGGTAGCCTGTTTGTGCCATCCCCATCCCCAGGCTTTTTACAAAGCTCCTAAGAAGAAACCTACCTCTTCCAGTGTAGACTGAGGGATGCTTAGCAGATGACGGCCACACAGAAAAGAGTCTGTCTTCTTCGTACGTGGAGAGAATCGGAGTTTAATCAGTCATTTAATAATGTTCTTTGGTGAGAGACTCGAGAGGTGGCTCCAGTTAAGAGCAGCTTCCCCGTGTGTGCACCTTCACCCCTCTCCCTCATTTACACTCCCTATAATAAGCTGGTAGATTGAAAAAAAGTGAAAATATTCTCAAGAGTGTAATTCACAGGAGAGCAGACCCAGGAATGTTTGCTGAGAGAAAAAAATCTAAATTAAGTTTTGTGTTATTACTTTCTGTTTTAATGACCTATCGTTTATTCCTGGTGCATGGTAGATGTGCCACAATTATTAAATATTTAGTTTAATAGCTACCATGAAGATAATGGTCTGACCGCAGCTCTGAAATGTAATCATCTTGGGTAGCAAAGCACAATCTGCCAACAGAGAAAATCCAGAAATTTAAAATAAATAGCCATGAACAAGCTTTAAAATGATGTTAGTTTGTTTTTCTTTTTCCTTTGGAAGAAGAAAGCTTTATTTAGGGTACAACTTGAATGAGATGTAACTTACATGCTTTACGATCCGTCCACTCAAGCATCTGAGTCATTTATTTTTCTAATGTACAGAGGTTTAACCACCACAGTCCAGATTTAGAGCATTTCTATCATCTGAAAATTTGCCCTGATTATTTCAGTTGTGGGCTGAAGCCGGCCTCTTTCCCATCACCGTCTCTCGGGTTTTACACTGAGGGGTTCTGCTGACCTGGAGAGTTGTGTCTTTTGACTATCACCTAGGGTCGCCCTCGTGGATTCCTGGGAGTTTCCATTGCACTAGGTTTCTAGCTTATCCTCAAGATGCCCCCAATTCCAGTTGTCTCTTTCAGTACTCTCTCCCTCCATCCTCCCCCAACCTGATTCCTCCTGTTCCCATCCCCCCACCTCCACCTGTGATATCTATTTTATTTCCCCTTCCCAGGGAGATTCAGTAGTCCTCCCTTGAGCCCTCCCTCTGACTTAGCTTCTCTGGCTCTATGGATTATATCTTGGTTATCCTTTACTTTGCACATAATATACACTTATAAGTGAGTACATACCATGTTTACCTTTCTGGGTCTGAGTTGCCTCACTCAGAATGATTTTTTCTAGTTATATCCATTTACCTGCAAATTTCATGGTGTTATTTTTTTTAACAGCTGAGTAATACTGCATGGTGTAAATGTACCACATTTTCTTTATCTATTCTTTGGTTGAGGGACATCTAGGTTGTTTCCAGTTTCTGGGTATTATGAATAAAGCTGCTATGAACATAGATGAACAAGTGTCCTTGTGGTATGATTGAGCATCCTTTGGGTGTATACCCAAGATTGGTATACCTGTGTTATGAGGTAGATTGATTCCCAATTTTCGGAGAAACCACCATATTGATTTCCATAGTGGCTATACAAGTTTGCACTCCCACCAGCAATGGAGGAGTGTTCCCCTTGCTCTACATCCTCTCCAGCATAAGCTGTCACTTGTATCTTTGATCTTAGCCATTGTGACAGGTGTAAGATGGTATCTCAGAGTCACTTTTATTTGCATTTTCCTGGTGGCTAAGGATGTTGAGCATTTCATTAAGTCTACTGGCCATTTGAGATTCCTGTATTGAGAATTATTTGTTTTGATCTGTGCCCCATTTTTTTTTTTTTTTTTTTTTTTTTTTTTGGTTTTTCGAGACAGGGTTTCTCTGTGTAGCTTTGCGCCTTTTCCTGGAACTCACTTGGTAGCCCAGGCTGGCCTCAAACTCACAGAGATCCGCCTGGCTCTGCCTCCCGAGTGCTGGGATTAAAGGCGTGCGCCACCACCGCCCGGCATGTGCCCCATTTTTTAAATTGGTTTATTTTATTTTTTTGTGATGTCTACTTTCTTAAGTTCTTTATATATTTTGTAAATCAGTTCCCTGTCAGATGTGGCATTGGTGAAGATCTTTTCCCATTTTGTAGGCTGCCTTTTTGTGTTATTGACAGTGTTCTTTGACTTACAGAAGCTTTTCAATTCCATGAAATTTATTTTATTCAGTTCCATTTATTAATTGTCAATCTTAGTGCCTGGGCTACTGGTGTTCTGTTCAGGAAGTTTTCTCCTGTGCCAGTGTGTCCAAGGGTAGCCTGTGTATTAATGTGTTTTGTTCTGACTTCTTTTGGAAAAATGGAAAATGAGGGGTGAAGAGAAGAAATGGCAGGTGGAATATGTGTACATGGTATACTCTCTCTCTCTCTCTCTCTCTCATATGTGTACATGGTATTCTCTCTCTCTCTCTCTCTCTCTCACACACACACACACACACACACACACACACACACACACACACACACACGCATGCACATTCCTACATATCCATTACCTGGTATCATATAAGTGTATGTTTATCTTCCTTTCCAGTCTCCATTTAAGTTTATATATTTCACACAGTGGTGTTCTCATCCCAGTCCATTTAGAGTGTGATTATGCTCATTTTCAAGTTCACACCCGGAAGGTTAGTTATAACTATTCAAGATCTGGGGGCACCAGCACCCTCTGTTGTGAGCCCAGAGGCAGAGACTCTGTGGAGCCTGCCTGCAATTCTCACCTAGACTGCCTGATGTTGAACTGAGCTGCCACTGACATATACTCACACTGTTCCTTCTCTGGGCATATGTGGAAATGTCGCACTCAGATACCTGGGTCAGCCATATCTTGACACAGTTCAGAAATAGTTCATGGTGGCCGGACAGTTTTAGTCCTTCAGTGCTAGAAGCATCATTTTCTGATGTCCAGCAGGGGGTGCGACACAAGTAGTGGAATTTTGCTTCCCTCTACGTGAAGCCGTGAAAGCTAATACTGCTCCTGAGAATTTCAGCAGCAAACCCAGTATCTGGTCTGAAGGCTAATGGGAGACAAAGGGGACACCTTTCAAGGTGGTGTCTATACCAGGTGATGTCTACAATTTCAACCCATCAACAAATCATTTCCAGCAGTGACCAGTAGGTAAGACACTCCCAGAATGTCCTGTATTAACCAGTACCCGCAAAGTACACCTAATTTCACACTAATTGAAAGTGACCAACCTAATCAGTTATTTGACTGTGAGGCTCTTCCACCATCCCCTTTCTGTATCTCCTTTGTCCCTTGTGTTGACGAATTCACAGGCATTGCTGCCCAGGGCATTGAACCTCTATCCATCCCTCTGAGGGAGGTGAGGTGGCCAGGCAGCACACTTTCTGAGGACATATGAGTCCCTTGTTCTGAGGGAGAGGTCACTTCTTGTTAATACTCATGTCTAATAACTGTCCCATTGAATGGATTAGAGTTTCAGATGCTGAACTAGGATCAGTCTGGTGTTGGAGTGGGAAGTTGGTCAGGTATCATGTGAAGAATGTTGTTCATCTTCTAAATACATTAGATCATAGAAGGGCGGGTTGAGGGACTAGAAGTTATTTAATATACTCTGTATACAAGTGCACAGACTGTGGGTTTCTGTTAATTTTTTGCTTAAGTGATTACTTGAGATGAACTCTCAAACACACTCATGTTGGATTATTATCACTACATTTCTTCTTTAATAATCTTAATTTGATATGCTGCTTGATAATAGAAGGGAAAGGGTGACAGGTTTACCAATCATTTAAGAAAAATTAGTTTAATAAAAGTTATTACAGAATCAGGAAATAATCTGTGTGTTCATCACTGGGGCCAAAAGATAGAGAAAATAAATTTCTTCTTCTTGAAGCTTTTTGTCTTTAGCAAAGCATAGTAGCACATTACACCTGTGGTCATAATAGTTCCAGCATAAAACAGTACTTGCTAAAGTGCTAAAAGCTTTCATTTTCACATGTATATGTGATGTGTGTATGGAAGCAGGCATGCCGTGGTGTACATGTGGAGGCCAAAAGACCCCCGTTTTCTCCTCTCACCTTTACGTGGGTTTCAGAAATTAAACTCGGGTTGCCAGGGATGTGTGATAACTGCCTTTACTTACTGAGCTGCCTAGATGGCTCGGAAGTCCCGGGTTTCTAATAGCTGCTTTGTAGCACATCGGTTAGAAAGGAAAAGTCAGCATGACTGGACATTTCGTGACTGTTATCCCTGTACTAAGTAGATTTGAGCCATTTTTATAAAGCACCCATAAGTCCTATAGGGTAGCTAATTATCACACCTTACAGAACAGGAATGAAGCTGTTCTCGTTGTGAAGCTTGCAGAGTAAAAACAGCTACTCAGAAAGTAAGAAACATGACCAGCAATGAGACTCTACTCCTTTGAGCCATCATCCTGCCTCCTCCGTGGTCCATCCATTGTGATCCGTGGGTGCTAACAGTGGGGCCGTAACCTGGATTGCAGTGTTCCATCCGGGATTTGAGTGACATGTGGAAGGCTGATAGCAATCCAAAGTAGTAATTAAAGCAAGTTAAACGAAGGGGCCGTTTGTAAGGACATGACAGGCTAAGGGACCAGCGGAGGAGGAGAGCCCCTTGGAAAAGGTTACCAACTGTAGGCGTAGGTGACCACGGAATAGGGAGCAATATGGTTGTTGGTAAGGAGTCTCCCCACAGCTGGGGCCAAGGCTAGAGGATCCTCTGCCAGCTTACATCCAGGTGAGATGAGCGTAGGGCTCCAGCGGCACAATAGGTTTGTCTCCCCTGGTGCACAAAGGAACGGAGGTCTCAGGTGTTTAAGTGAGTGGAGGTTCGTCTCAGAGCTGTGAGAGGACAGGGAGGAAGAATTGATCTGGGAGCTAAGAAGGGGCCAGGGGTGTAGGGGAGTGGACAGATGAATGCAGACTCAGGAGGTACCAAGGCTTGTGTCGGCTTCTGAACACAGCAGCCTCAACAGCTGCAGGGGCTGATCCAGGGGACAGTAGGAGGCCAAGCAACACCCATTGGAAGTCAGTTCAGTACTCAGTATTGGGCCTGTTTTGTCTCACATAGGCCAGTATTGAGGCTACATGTTTCTTAGGTAAGTGGAGAGATGGCGGGAGAGGAAGGGCAGAGGTGAGAGATGACCTTATGTGAACACTGATCTATCCAAAAAGTCCACCTGCCAGGAACAGTCCCTTCATGGAAGCTGCTGGCTGTGCAAATGTGTGTGTAGAGTCCCCCTTGATGCTCACTCGATTCTTTCTGTGTTCCAGTGACCTATGGCATGATGAGTTCCAATGTGTACTACTACACGCGGACATTGTCACAGCTTTTCATAGACACCCCAGTGTCTAAAACAGAGAAGACTAACTTTAAAACTCTTTCTTCGATGGAGGACTTCTGGAAGGTATTTACAAATGACTAAAAGTACTTCCTTGTCTCTGAAAATTGCTCATTTGGTATCATAAGTTCAACTCATGAGCATCTTCAGGAGTCGTGAGTTATATTAAGTTCTGTAGAGTTCCTGTTCCTTTTGGTATTTATTGAGGACATTGAAAGCACCTTGCACAGAAAATGTTTTACATCTTTATTTAATTCCTTTAGTGATCTTATCAAGTACATACTAATATGCATTCCGCAGTTTATAAACAAGGTAAGTGAAATTCAGGGTGCTTACCTGTGTATGGTCACATGGCTGGAGAAGAAAAGACCTGGACTTTTTTTTCTCTTTTTTTAGTATGATTGCTGCTTCATTATAGCTTATTGTTCACTTGGTCATGCATGATTCTGTAAATGATGACTGAGAATGTCCTGTGACACAAGTCCCAAGTAGGCAGTTTGGGTGTCAAACACTGCTCTACTTTCTGGGATTTGTATCTTTGTTGACAGTGGCATGTGCCCTCAGCTCCAAGAATGTGTCCAACTCCTAATAAGACGTGGACACATTTCAAAGGTCGCTACTGTAAAATTCAACCTAGCCTTCTCTTCAATTCTGAGCTCCAACTAGCAGACAATAAGCACTGAGTAACGCAGGACAGTGATTAAGCCAGTCCAGATAGTGTGCTGCTCAGAACCTTGGAAAACTGGAGAGGAAATTTAAAAGGAAATTATTGTTTCTCCCAGGAGAAATAATGTGGGAAATTCTTATTAATCCCTGAAGTCAGAGCTCTTGGTTTCAGGCATAGAGAAAACTGGGCCACTGCAACCTTTTAATATGTAAGAGCACTTGTCGTTAAAACCCACAGTTGTGACAAGTCTCTGTGGATGCCATGGTAATGCATGGAGAAATGACTACCTCTGTTCTCCATTGAGGAAGAGCCTTTTGTCCAAACATAAAACTTCTCACATGTACCTTTCCATGATAAAAAACACCAAGCCACAAAGAGGAGGGGTAGGGTTGAAGGACTCCACGTGTAGCAAAATAATCCAGGTAGAAAAAGATCCAGTACAAAAGGTAATTGACACTCTTACCTTTTCATTCCAGAGTTATGGTTATGTGGGATTATATGTTTATGGGTTGCGTTTTTTCTAAGGGAAAGCAAAGTTAATGGTCTTTGTGTATTTATGAAACATGCTTCTCTCAGTCATTAGTCTCAGCAGAGAAGTCAGAATACACTGATATTGTATCAGGTGTCCTGACCAGAAAAAGATGAATTTCCCAAATGTGGGAACCCAACTTAGGGACTCCTATGCAAGGCCCCACACCTAGCAAATGACAGCAAGATCCAGACCCAGATTTTTCTGACAACGTGGCATGTGCTTATTGCTCTCCTTACTCAAAGCCTTGGTGATGTTTGGGTTATACATATGCTCCAAGCAGAAGCCAGCCAGCCTCTGAGTTTGGAACTTATCCAGAATCCTTTGTTTCAGTTCACAGAAGGCGCCTTCCTGGATGGGCTGTACTGGAAGGCGCAGACGGGCAACCACACGCAAGCGGACAACCGAAGCTTCATTTTCTATGAGAACCTGCTGCTGGGAGTGCCTCGTTTACGCCAACTCAGAGTCAGAAACGGATCCTGCTCCATTCCTCAGGACTTGAGAGATGAAATTAAAGAGTGCTATGATGTCTACTCCGTCAGCAGTGAGGACAGGGCTCCATTTGGACCACGAAACGGAACTGCGTGAGTGTCTGTGCCGTGTGTCCAGTGGGTGGCATTCATTCTTTTTTCCTTCTCAGACAGAAAGATTTTTCTTATAGGCCTGGGTCAAGTTGTCCTTTGTCTCTGACCTTCTCTTCCTTGTTTAGTTCCTATATGCATATTTCAAAAAGACTGACTTGTCAATCATATAACCCAAGAAAATGAAGTGATCCGAGCCTTTAGAGGTTGTAAGATGCTTCGGTATTATCTTTTTAGGACAAACAAGATTATCCAGTAATTCATTTTAGTAGTTCTTACAGATCTGTTTTTTGTTTAGAATGTAATTATTTAAAGTGCAGACTTAGGGGTACTGAAGAAATGGCTCAGTGGTTGAGAGCACAGACTGTTCTTGCAGAGGACACAGGTTTGGATCCCAGCATTCTTCCCAGGAGGATCGCAACCACCTGCACCTCCAGTTTAAGGGGGTGACGTCATGCCCTCTTTTGGCCTCTGTGGGACCTGAGTGCTGCCATAAAGATTCACAATTCCTTTTCTGGGCTGTTCCTTTGTCCCACACCATTGGTAAGAGACATTGGTACAGCTACTCTGTGCCAGGCCCTGTTCGTAATATATCTCATCCCTACCTTACAGAACACCTCTAAGACAGGTGTCCTCTCATGTCATTGGAAGCAAGGAGAGACAGTGGGTGACTTTGTGTCCATGTCCCTCTTGTCTGCAGTTTTTACTGGAGCCTTTGAGGGATGTAAACCTCAAATCAGGCATCAGAAAAGGTATGGTAGGACGTGGTGGCATAGGCCCTGTGGACAGATGGGTCTAGTGTGGGTTCTAGACTCTTAAGCTCAAACACATCGGGAATAAATCAAATTTACGAAGCCTCAGGGCCCTCCTTACCAAACTGAGACCAAACAGTAGCCGTGAGGATTCACTAGGAAAAGAAATAGAAACGTTTTTCTAAGCACACCGTTTTTATACATACGTTATCCCAGCAGGCAGCAACTGTTTTCCAAGCTGTGACAAGTCTTTCCCTAGTTTGACCTGTTGTTTTTGTTTTAATTAGGTGGGTCTACACCAGTGAAAAGGACTTGAATGGGAGCAGCCACTGGGGGATCATTGCCACATACAGTGGAGCGGGCTATTACTTGGATCTTTCCAGAACCAGGGAGGAAACGGCTGCTCAGATTGCTGGCCTCAGGAGAAACTTCTGGCTGGACCGGGGGACCCGGGCGACTTTCATTGACTTTTCAGTGTACAATGCGAACATCAACCTGTTCTGCGTGGTCAGGTGTGTACCGTGGGCTCGTAGCCATCCTCTATCTGGGTAGTGATCTGCACAGCCATTTCTGGAGATGTGCTGGAGAGACCCTTCTTGCAGCTGGCTAAGGGAGGGTACCAAGAATCAGGGCTGAGACCAAGGGAGGGGTGGCAACTCAGTAAAACGGATATTTGCAGAAGGGATTTAAGATCCTGGAATGTTATGACTTGGAAAGAACCTTAAATCTGGTCAAGTTTATCCCATTTCCAGATCCTGTCCAGGCAAAGCACTGTAGGTAGGTTTCTGTTGTTGTTTTGCTTGTTTTTTTTTTTGTTTTTGTTTTTTGTTTTTACCATTATCTTCGGCCATTATAAGGATGGCCACTCTGTCACCAAGTCCTCTGGCCACCCAACCTTGGCTCCTCTCCCTGAGTGTCCCCGCTTTTGTGGGACACCCCGAGTTCCAGGCGTAGGCTGTGCTGCTCCTGCCCCGGCCACTGTTGGAAACTGTGACACAGGTCCTGTTGCCTGGCCTTACTCTGCTTTCCGTCAGCTGCTCTTGGACGTATGGGTACTGGTTGTTATTTTCGGCTATTTGAGTATGTCAGAGAACAAAACAAAGATCCCTGCACTTGGAAAGCTTGTATTCAGCGAAGATAAACAGAAGAAACAAGTCATGTAGTATTGTAAATAGTGAGTGCTATTTAAAATAAAATAATAGAGCAAGGTAAGAGTTGTCAGTGTTTGCCGGGCAGTGGTGGCGCACGCCTTTAATCCCAGTACTTGGGAGGCAGAGCCAGGTGGATCTCGGTGAGTTCGAGGCCAGCCTGGGCTACAGAGTGAGTTCCAGGAAAGGCACAAAGCTACACAGAGAAACCCTGTCTCGAAAAACCAAAATAAAAAAAAAAAGAGTTGTCAGTGTTTACCCGACATGCCACATCAGCAACACCCCCAGATCACTCACGTTGGTCATCTGCACGTAGATTTCCACAGGAAGTCAGGGTATATTCTCATAATATTAGGATTTTGTTATAATTTTCACATTAAATTTAACTCTGATTTAACAGGCAGTTAGACTTTGCCGGTATTTATATTTATCAGCTTTTGCTGAACATAAACATAACCTCTTTAGACCAAGTAGATCTTCTTATTAGAAATGAATGAGAATTGATTATAATTGCCATTAAGCTTTTCATAGTGATCCCAGTGTTGATTTGAAGAGGATTCTAATAGGCAGACAACTCTGGCAGACTAGAAAGTGTTTAATTTCAGGATGTCTTCAGTGTGTTGTTTTTGCTTTTTTTTTTTTTTTAATTTTTTTTTTCTCCTGCATCATCCCTAGAATTCAAAGATGGCCCCATCAGGGCAATTACTCCAATTTCTTTCTAAGTTCCTAGGTGGTTAAGAAGCTCAGAGCCCCAGTGGGACAGAGGGACTCTGACACACAGGGGCCACTTGCCTTGTTCACACTAAGGCTGAAATGACACCCGTTGCTTTTAGAATTATTCTGTCTGTCCCTGGTGCTCGACATCAAATAGGGAAATTGACAGGGAATTGACAAGAATTTCCACTTTCCAGAGTCCTGGGTTTGACCTGGTCACTGCTGGAGCTTCTGTGTGTCTTAGAAGCTTGGGTTCTAGGTTTGGCCACTGTCCTTTAGGGGAGGGCATTGTGATACCAGCCATGTGACTGGGGGCTCTTGAAACTACATTCTAGTTATGTGGAAGGTGGTTCTTGTAGTTGAAATTTTCCTGTGCTCATCCTGGCACCAAGGTCTCACAGCCACTTATAAAATTCCTGTGTCCCGCCTGGTTCACTCAGACCCAAGGAAACACACAGAAGCTTATATTAATTAAAACTGCTCGACCATTAGCTCAGGCCTACCACTGACTAGCTCTTACACTTAAACTCAGCCCATTTTCGTTAATCTATATGTTGCCACGTGTTCCGTGGCTTTACCTGTGTGCCATTACATGCTGCACCCTGGATGGCGGTCTGGCATCTCCTGACTCAGCCTTCCAGCCTTCCCACAAGTTCTGTTTATTGGATTACTGAACTTTCACACCATGAACCTGTACAGTTCAGTTAGAGATGTAGTGAAAACCAGTGCTGTGTTAATATAAAAGAGGGACTGTCTATTCCAGGCAGCAGGTGGGTATTGAGTGTCTTGGATATACGCCTTCAAGGGAAGGGAAGGGAACTAGCAAACTGAAGACTGATTAGATGTTACTTAGTAACTGAATAAATGAGGTAGCCCCGTGTTTTATAGTTGTGAAATGCATGCCCTGTTTCCACCCAGATCATACATGTTTCCCAGCTTGAGGTAGCTTGCAGTGGCAGTGGTTTTCAGCTCATATTGCAGAACAGATGTACTTCCTTTCCTAGGTCTATCTTACATTGTGATGTTAATTGTTCTTTTTGCAATGCAGGTTATTGGTTGAATTCCCAGCCACAGGCGGCGTGGTGCCCTCTTGGCAGTTCCAGCCTGTAAAACTGATCCGCTATGTCACAGCTTTTGATTTCTTCCTGGCAGCCTGTGAGATTATCTTCTGTTTCTTCATCCTTTACTATGTGGTGGAAGAGATACTGGAGATTCGGATTCACAGACTACACTATTTCAGGAGTTTCTGGAACTGTCTGGATGTTGTGATTGTTGTGGTAGGTTGGAGGGAAATGCCGGCATCCCTGCGGTGTCTCCCGCATTTCCTGTCTGTATTCCACAGCGTGTTCATTTGCTGCTTCAGTTTGAGTGTTGGTAATCCTCTAAGCTTTTATATTAACGTCTGTGTTATAAGTTTTTAGTTCTTACTTTGTACGAGAAATCTTCCTGATTATAATGTGGTTGTTTTTATTGAACTCTGACTTAATCACACAAATTTAATTTAGCAATTAAATTTGCCTTTGGTATGTCATATAAGATTTGTAGACTAAAACTATGGGGGGTGGTTTTTTTTTTAATACTTTTCTGCTAGTGAAAATTATTTTTTTTGCAAGTATCAAATTATGACAAGAAGAAACAGCCTGGAAGTTTTTGTGTAATGCAGAAAACATCCTGTTGTTTGGAAGTCCTGTCACACAGGCAGAGGGAACAGAATTTAAACCGTGTCCATCAGTCACACCCATCGCCTCCTTCCAGAGTCCTTGGTGTAAAAATTCACTTTTCTGAGCTTTTCCTTTTTCAGCAGCTTAGGTGCTTTTGTCTTCTTGTATTTTGAAGTGTGTAACAGTGTGCCTAATTGTCATATGTTTAAGCTGTCTTTGGGCACAGCTGTGCCCCGGGTCCTTGCTTCCCAGTCCCACCATTCCAGATGGCACTCAAGAGGGCTGCACTAACCAATGAGCATTCTCCTGTCAGCCCTCTCCCTGACAGTAGTCTTTCCTCACTCCAGGTTAAAATTACTAGGCCTTTGTGAACCACGTATTGAATCTTTATCAAGTATTGCCCATTAGAATTTGTGATAAAATACAGAACATGCTGTTCATGTGTGAAGGAACAAATACCGTGTGGACATGTACTGCATGGCAGCAGGGGTATTAGCACCATTGATAATAATAGTAGGAAAAATGGCTTAGACCTTAAGACCAATGTGTGTGTTTGGCACATTCCCAAGTACTTCTCATGGAGAAATGCTTATTAAATCCTTAGACTGGCTCTCTCATTTACTCTGCCCCCTCCTAACTGAGTCATGTACATGTGTGCTTCAGAAAGTGCTTCCACTTGAAATAAACGTCCTTTAAAAATACAGCCTGAGACCCAGCGGATGCTGGCACCTCCCCCCTTCACGGTGTTCTTGTAACATCACATGGTTACATATGACAAGGCAGCTACTTAGGCCACACACTACTAAAGTATTAATACTGAGCAATGTTACAAAAAAAATTAGTACTAAGGAAAGCAAGAGAGACAAGTGTGGAAATTATGTTTCAGAATATTTCTGTATCGGTGATGGCAGAGTCTCGACCATATACATTCAGATTATTCTAGGAAACAATGTTTGGAACTTTAAGGTACAAAGTTGCTTTTTAGCTTATATTTAATTATATTCAGGTTGATGGGAATAGAACTGTAAAAAAGCAAGTGCTATATAGTAATCAATTACAGACTTTTTTTTTAGCCAAGTAGTTTCCATATTACCCAAACTAGTCAACATTGAACATTTTAAATCTCAAATGCTAATCAGTGAAAAAGTTAACTGTGTACTCTAATTTACTGAATGTGTTCAGTTGTGGTGTGTGTATAGGTATAACAGGTATAGCCATGGAAACAAAGACCTGCATAGAATTAAAAAGATACGAATTAATAGAATTCTAGCTTTTAACATTTGGCAATGTTTCTACTTACTCTATCAACTGTAAACATGTGTGTACATGTTACAAAAATGTTTTTAAAGTCTATCAAGAAAAGTGTATAGTATTATAGTTCAGTGGTCCATATTCATATTTCATATCAAACTGGCTTGCTTATTCACCTCTTCAAACCACTAATACACTTTCTAACCACCTGCCCACCCATAGATTATGTCAGGCTTTCTCCTCCCACACCAGTGAACTGCATCACACACACACACACACACACACACACACACACACACACACACACACACACACTTTGGGGACCCCTGGGCTGTTAGTTTCTGAAGAAGTCAAAGGTGGCTCCCTTCCCTGCAGCCATAGCATTGTGCAGGCATCTCTTTGAAGGTTTATTTCCTCCAGCTTGTTTTTTTTTTTTTTTTTTTTTTTTTTGAGACAGGGTTTCTCTGTGTAGTTTTGGTACCTGTCCTGGATCTCACTCTGTAGACCAGGCTGGCCTCGAACTCACAGAGATCCACCTGCTCTGCCTCCTGAGTGCTGGGATTAAAGGTGTGCGCCGCAGCCACTGCTGCTGCTGCTGCTGCCGCCGCTACCACTGCTACCACCACCCGGCCCCTTCCTCCAGCTTTTAATTCTACTTGAACCTAAGTACTTCCAGGACTGGATCCAGAAGCTTGGGCTTCTGTGTCTCCTCTGAAGGGAAGAGCAGCCCTGCGGTGCAGCTTGCTTCCCTGGGTCAGGAAAGCTCCGCAAGAGTGCCGGGACTTGGGTTTTATCCAGCTGAAAATGAAGGCCACTTGAAAAAAACCCACATCTCAAAATCCCGTGGAGATTGTTCCCCGTGTTTTGTTTCTCCAGCAAACACACGGAAGCCTCCAGGCGGGTACCAGTCAGCTAGCTGTGGGTCCTAGCCAATTATCTTTCAGAATTACTGAAAAAAAAGAAAAACTTTAGAAGTCTGAATTCAAATAATGTTGATGGCTTAGCTTCACTGAGTGAAAACGAGTCATTTATTTAACAAAGATAACCTCCCAGGTCCTGAACTGTGTTCCAGCTCTTAGAGATGCAGGGATATACAAGACAGCCTAAAGGTCATGTTCTGGTTTGGGAGAAAAGTTTTTTTTTGTTGTTGTTGTTGTTGTTGTTTTTGTAGCTAGAAATGAGAATTTCGAAGAAAAAAATGTGATTTAACAAGCATACTCACAAAAAAAGATCTCTTTTCCTTTTCTCATTCCCTAGTTTGAAAGAAAACTCAAAGAAAGTCAATGTGTGAATGTGATACTGGTTCTCTTTATATTAAAGACATCTTGGCTGGATGATAAATTGAGATTTAAATAAAAGATTATTGGATTTGCTCAAACAACAAAAGGGCCCTTCACCCCTTTCAGCTGATATTTTTAGAGCATTCAAGAGCAAAGAAAATATGAACACCAGCAGGAGAAGGTATAGGGCTCAGTAGGAAGCCCTCCTGCCTGAGAAACAGGACTGTGAGTCTAGTTCTTTAGCTGCGATGGGCAGCTGGGAAGAAGGCCTTCCCTTTTGCATTTGAGCTTGTTATTGTTTGATTTCCTCTGTGTACATCCATGTACACACCTGCACATGTTTTCAGTTGATTTCTGTCCCTAAGGGGATGTAGGCTGTATATTGTTTTCATGTTTTAGCTGATGCCTTTGATGAGTGCTATTGGGTGAGGAATATGGTCAGTCCTCCAATCCATATATCAGTGGTGAAAACTAGTCATTTTAGAGTGGATTATCTATTTCTAAAGTGACGTAAGGAATATAAATCTTCTGTCTTCCAGTTATCCGTAGTAGCTGTGGTAATTAACATTTACCGAATGTCAAATGGAGAGGGTCTGCTGCAGTTTCTCGAAGATCGAAGTTCTTTCCCCAACTTCGAGCATGTGGCATACTGGCAAATACAGTTCAACAATATAGCTGCTGTCATGGTGTTTTTGGTCTGGATCAAGGTAATTTATGTCATATTCTTTATTTTACTATATATATATAGCATATATATTTACTATATATAATATATACTATATATTTACGTATATATATGTATATAAGCATGAGTCACACAGGCCATTGGAAGACATGGATTTGCCTTACTGGCCAGGTTGACACGGCCAGCCAAGGTTGTTGCATCGTTTACATCACGTAGATGGCGGCTCCTGTGAACCTTCCTGTAACTGTGGATGAGACGATGTTGGCTGCCTGGATCCTTCTCAGGTCTGAGGAAGCTCTGCTCAGCTGAGGCTGTATCAGAGGCTCTTCTGAACAGTTACTTTCCCACTCATTCTCAGTGTAAACGACAGGGCATCTCATGAACAGTGAGCCTGAATTCTGGAGATGCAGAAAATGTCAGCCATTTTGAGGCAGGTACCGACTTGCCACCTGCCCAGGCTCTGGGACTGTGCTGTGCTCCTGATCACATGGAGAGTGTGCATTTAATTTGAAGTTTTTAATATAATTGAAACTTCAGTTCCTCCAACCCAGTATTCACATTTTTATCTACACGTTGCTAATGGCGACTGTTTTAGGACCATCACAGCAAGTTCTCAGAAGCAGCTTCCAGAGAGGGTACCTTCCAACAGCAGCCCTGACACTGCAAGGCCTGGGGCTAACCAAAAACATGGACCTCACATTGAGTTTCTCATGCTGTCATTCATTGATTGCTCGTTCAGGAGAGACCATCTCCAACACACCACATTTTGTTATAAAATTAGTAGGAATTGGAGTTGGTGGAGTTGCTCAGTGGCAGAGGCCTTGGCTGGAACATGGGAGGCCCTGGGTTCCAACCCAGCACTAAAGAATGAGTGAATAAAAAGTAGGAATTTCATTAATAATTAATATTGATGATAACAGCCTATAGAGATCTTTATTGTGTCCAGAAGCTGTTTATAAAAGACCATTAAGTGAAACTCCAGAGATTTCTCTCTTAATGTGCATTTCCAGTTGCTCTCTTATTTATTGCATTGCTTCTTAAACATGATCATTACATTCTTCCAGGCAGGAACAGTGTCTTGTAATGCTCACTCCCATGTGCTCCCTACACAGCCTTCTACTGTGAGCTGCATGCATCTTTGCATGTCTTGTCCTGCCTCCTGAGCTCCAGTCTTCGTGGCTGCATTCAGATCCTTTGGCACTTGCTCACTGGGCTTCTCAATCGGGCTCGGCTGGCTCCCAGTGGCTCCCAGTGGGTCTGGTGTCTAGGGATAAAAATACCAGTATTTATGTCACTGAAGATGGAAGGCAGTTACCCAAAGTTACCCCTACATCGTGGTACTTGGTACATGACAATGATGCACAAAACTATTTTCTGGTTTAGTCCTTTGGGGGATGTTATTACTTATTCATCGATCATACTTAAACTTGTTTTTACTATATTGTGACTGTGATTTAAGATGTGAGCAACATGAGGCAGAAGCTTTGTTCTGCTCACTGTTCTATTCCCAGCTCTGAGGACAGGGCCTAGCATGGGCTAAGTACTCAACCAGTATTTACATTGTTACATTCCCAACCCTGAGGACAGGACCTAGCATGAGCTAGGTACTCAACAAGTACTTCACACTGTTCCATTCCCAGCCCTGAGGACAGGACCTAGCATGAGCTAGGTACTCAACAAATACTTCACACTGTTACATTCCCAGCCCTGAGGACAGGACCTAGCTTGAGCTAGGTACTCAACAAGTACTTCACACTGTTACATTCCCAGCCCTGAGGACAGGACCTAGCATGAGCTAGGTACTCAACAAGTACTTCACACTGTTACATTCCCAGCCCTGAGGATAGGACCTAGCATGAGCTAGGTACTCAACAAGTACTTTACACTGTTACATTCCCAGCCCTGAGGACAGGACCTAGCATGAGCTAGGTACTCAACAAGTACTTTACACTGTTACATTCCCAGCCCTGAGGACAGGACCTAGCATGAGCTAGGTACTCAACAAACACTTTTTTGAATGGCAAGATAGATATTCCTACACTTGAAAGAGACAAAAAGTGAATAATTTCTCACCTATTTTTCTTTACTATGATAAACAAAATTACACAGTATCATTTTCACCATTTTATATGCATACTTCAGAAGTATGAAATATACACAGCACAGTGTTGTATCTATCACTACTCTACATTACCATTTTTGTAATCCCAACAGGAAATGCTATATCCCAGCACATCAACTTTCCATTGTATTTCTTTTTTTCTTTTTGATTTTTTTCGAGACAGGGTTTCTCTATGTAGTTTTGGTGCCTGTCCTGGATCTCGCTCTGTAGACCAGGCTGGCCTCAAACTCACAGAAATCTGCCTGGCTCTTCCTCCCGAGTGCTGGGATTAAAGGCATGTGCCACCACCACCCAGCTTTCCATTGTATTTCTTATCCCAGTGAATTTGACTATTCAGAGTGCCTCACAGATGGAGGCATACAACATTTGAGGTTTTGTATCTGCCTTATTTCATTTAGCATGCTTTCAAAGTTCATGTCATAGCCAGTAGCAAATTCCATTCCCTCTTATGATAGAATAGTTCCATTGTATATGAAGAGCACATTGTATCATTCACTCATCTAATGACAATGTCCTGCCTTTACAGCTCTTCAAATTCATCAACTTTAACAGGACCATGAGCCAGCTCTCCACAACCATGTCTAGATGTGCCAAAGACCTCTTTGGTTTCACCATTATGTTCTTCATTATTTTCTTGGCATATGCTCAGCTGGCATACCTTGTCTTTGGCACTCAAGTTGATGACTTCAGCACTTTCCAGGAATGTATGTAAGTATCTATGAGATGAAACAAAAGGGTTTTTTTTCTATAAATGTATGAAATTGTGAAATAATGTTTTAAAAATTTATGAAGTTTAATTAGTTCACAGCATTCCTAACAGCAAAATGTTATTCTTGTCACTATTTGACTAGCAAATGTTAAAAATAAAGACAGATTGAATTCCTGTTCTACAAACATTGTCCGACCAAAGAAAACATGGTGTTTGGAAATGTTGGTTCTTAGGGAAGCAGTCTTCAAGTAGTGAGATAGAGTGGAACCACCATAGAAAGACAGCACTATTCCAAAGACCAAGATCTCCACACCCAGCAGAGGTGGGAGTTTTAAATGGCCATTTGCAGGGGAGGTACACATGGGTGGCATGCTTAGCCCTGGGCTCCATCCGAGGGCTCGGTCCTCCTTCCCACTCTCCGCACATAAGGAGGCCATTTGCCTGCATTTTCGTTCCTCTTGCATATCGTTGCCTTGTATGTTAAATTCCAACTTCCAAGAGATAAAATATATTTCTAATATTGTAGAAGAAACTAAAACCAGTTTACAAATCTTCAGTCTTTTTCTAGTGTTCCCAAATATACCAGAAAAAAATTTAAATCAAGACAAAAAGACCCCACAATATTCTGAATTACAGTTATGTGCCATTTACAAAGTTACTTGGTAATTAGGGAAAGAGTAGATCATGAAACCGGGAGTTAGTGTGACTTGTGGTTGGGGATCCCTAGTTAATCTTGTTGTTGAGGAAAGCCAAAAAAGGAAATGATGTCACTGATAATGTCTAGCTGCTGTGACCTCACTTTGAGTGACTGTGAGAAAACTGGATCTTTGAACTCTACAATTTTGGCCATTTTTCAATATGTGTTTTGTCATCGTTGTTTTTATTTAGAGATATTTTAACTTCAGACCAAGTGTGACTATTATAAAGATTTGAGTTACCAGGTTTTCCCCAGATTATATATTCTTAGTCTATAAATCATCTAGTAATCAGGTTTGATATGAAGTAGAAATGACATATACCATATGAAACCATGTTACTCAAAGGCATCATCAATTGACAATTCAAGTAACAAGCCTTTCTCGAAGAGGCCGACAGTTTTCGGTTTCTTGGCAGCTCTCTGGACCCTCCCAGACTGTCCCGGCATATGAGATCATCTTTAATAGGTGCACGTCCGCAGCTGGACACTGTTTGGTTTTGTCTTGTGTTCTGTTTTGTTTTCCTAGCTTCACTCAGTTCCGCATCATTTTGGGGGATATCAACTTCGCAGAGATTGAGGAAGCTAACCGAGTGTTGGGACCACTTTATTTCACTACATTTGTGTTCTTTATGTTCTTCATTCTTTTGGTATGTATATGTATATTTTTTTTATAGTGAGGTGATTTAAACTTTGTGCTCATAAATCACCACCTTCCCTTTTCTCTCATTCTTGATCATCCATCATTTCAAATAAACACGTGGAAAACAGAAAAAAAAATGTTGATTCTAGAAAACTTATTTTTTTCATTGATTTATAGTTTTCAGACAATAATTTGTCCCATGGTCTTTTGATCATCTATAAATATGTATTTAACTTCTATAAAAATAATTACAAGTGCAGATTTATCAATTTCCTAAATGGTGGTTTGCCTGAACAGTAGGACGTACTTACCTGCTTACGCAGCACAGTGTCACCTCCTGCCTCTTAGTCACTTGCTAGTGTGACTTTTCATTCCTGCCTTTTCTTTGAGAAAATAGGAACTTACAAAGCAACTTAGAAATAGGACGTCAAGAGTCATAGCTGGGTGAATTATCACATGTCAAGGCTAAGATAATATTTCAACCTTCTCATAGCCCACAGGCCTCTACACTGCCTACAAAGAATCCACATCTATTAAACTTAAAAGTAAATCTAACAGTAATTAGCAATTGCTCCCAAAATACATGTTAAAATACCTTTGAGTCTCTTGATTTATAACAACTTTTACCATTTACTTTAAGATTTTTTTTTTAAAGGTGTTTTGTGGTTTTCTTAACATTTCTACATTCTACTTGTCTGGTGAAAAAGTATTAAGTGAAGTTAGCTTAACTGAGGGAAAAGGTATATTTCATCCAAACACTATCATCTTTCAGATTTTCCTTTCTGGAGGTTTGAATGATTAAATTTAGGTGTCTCATCTCTGAAGTCTCCCCAGGTATCCCATTTCGGCAGATGGTGCTCATTAAGTCTTAGATAACCACTCATGGGACAAAAGGTCCCGAGAAGTCCATTCTTTCACACCCTGCTTTTTTGCCAGTATTGTGGCCAGATTTGAACTTACCTCATTAACTGACCTCTTCCTGCTACAGATTAAGGAAAAAGTAGGGATTGACAAGGCTTTGTTTCCCTCTAACATGGGTAGTCCTTTGGGTTCTGGGGCTCTGGGCTCTCTGCTAAGATCTTTCTAAGCATGAGGTACATCCTGCGGCAGACCCTTCAGCTGTCCTCTGCCACCTGTAGGACACAGTGAGACTGAAGTGCTCGAAGGAGAACTTGGTCATTGTGCCACACTAGACGCTGCCACCTACTATCCAGGTGCTGTCGTCCTCTCATGAAATCAAACCCCGGAACGTGAAAGAATTCTCATTGCTTCTCAGACTGCCTCACAAAAACCTTCACTAGCCACCACCTGTGTCTACTGATTGGAAATCTCACAGAACCCACACTTTAATTCACTTTGACTAAGATATATGCAGCCATCATTTAAGCATTGGCAAGCAAAAATAAAATGTTAGATATCTGGATAAGGAGAGTAAAAATCAAAGCCTTATTTTAACTGAAATTACCTGTGCTCAGAATGGAGCACACACCCATGGGTTTATGTATAGTTTATGTTCTGTTTTAATTTCTGGTGTCCAATATTAATCAGTAGTCTTCCTTAATTGATAGAGATGTGTAGTTCTCCACTAAAACAAGAGTCTTAATTTTCATTCATCAGTCACTGGATAAATACTGCCTGAGCCACTATATTCTTATACAGATAGTCTGGGTCATACAGAGTGTAAATTATAGTGTTTGTGCATTCAGTGATGTGTTATACAGCCGAGGGAGCCGTGAAAAGGAAAATAGAGCCTGGACTTCCTCTGATTCTGTGGATTTGTGGGGAAAGCAGACATAGTTAAATATACCTCTGCAGCTATAAACCAGTTGCCAGATACAAACAAACAGCATACAGGAGACAGAGCTGATTTACTAGGTGCTTTGAGAAAGTGTGTGGCAAACTCACGGAAATACTCATTACCACCGGGGAGGGAAAACGTTAGGAAAAGTAAGTAGACATTGGTGAGTGACAGCAGCTGTAATGATTAGCACTTAGAACTGTCACTGTTAGGACCTATCCTGAGCACTGTGTGGATTGTCTCACTAACCAACACAAGCAGTTTTTAAGGGAGGTACTGTTCCTTTTTCCATTTTATAAATGCAAAACAAGGAGCTAGGGAGATGGCTGGGTGTGTAAAATGCTTTCTGCTCAAGCCTAAGGATTCGAGTCCAGATCCCTAGCCCTTACATGAATATGGTTCAGACATGGCAGCCAGCATACAATCCCAGAGCTCAAAGAGATGGAGACAGGATCCCTTGAACAAATGGCTAGATAGACTAGCCAAATGAGGGAGCTCTCGTTCAAGGGAAAGACCCCATGTGGATGCATCAGGTGGAGTCAGAAGTGAGTGGGAAGGCATCCTTGTGGCTGCCACACACACCTGTATGGGTGAGCACACGTGGGCTGCCTCCCAACACATACATAAAGAGAAAAGAAATGCAGGACAAATTCTTAAAACAAGTGGGCCAAATCATCCTAGCACCCAGGAGATAGTGGCAGGCAGATATTTGTGAGTTTGAGGCCAGCCTGGTACACAGGTAAGGGAGGTGCTGTTTAAAAAAAAAAAAAAGCAAAACAATAAACAACCAAACACTTGTATTATAATCTCAAACAGTAAAGAGATGATTATATTTTAAATAAGTCAGACAAGGTCTTGGGAGATGGCTGATTGGGTAAGAATGATTGCTCTGAGAACATGAGAACCTGAATTTGCATCTCTAGCAGTCAAGTAAAATGCCAGAAAAGGCTGCCTGTGCCCGCACAACACCCTCCACCTTCTGGGCACCAGGATTCCTGCAGTTTGCTGTTCAGCCAATGTAGCCAATGAGTGAGCGTCAGGCTAGTGAGAGACCCTGTCTCAAGATAATAAGACGAAGACAATAGAAAAGACACTTGCTCTGGTCTTTGCTTGTGCGCTTATTGGTGCACACACACACACACACACACACACACACACACACACACACACACACACACACACACACACACACTTATCACAACACGTACACACGTACATGTGTGGGCCATGCCGTGTTTGCTGGAGGTGGAAGCTGGATTAGACTGCCCTTTCTTCGTGGTTCATGTCTCTGTCAAGGAAGAGTTACAAGTGAGGGACGGTGTGGAAGTTTACTACAGAAAGTTTCCACTTGAAGAGTGAGCTCGGGTTTCCTGAGAGAGCACCAGATCACAAGTTTTCCTTCCTGGGTTTTAGATGATTCTGGGGCTCATGATTCCAGGTTGCCCACACACAAGGTTCAGCTGACTGTGCAAGGGTGCTTCCTTTCATTGTTGTGTGAGGGTTTGGTTTGGAAGGTCTGACAGGGTGGCTGCCCTGGAAGTTGTTTTAACACTGGCCCGGTTGGCTGTTGTGGAGCCCAGCTGTGTTACACAGTGGGAGGTAAACTGTGGGGTTTGTTTGTCTTCTGCGGTCCTTCCTGGGCGCTGTTGTTTGTTTTCTCCTTTGATCTCTTCCGATTTCCTGGTAGTTCTGGTGATCTCTTCCCAGTCACACCAAGACAAGAACCATCAAAACAAGAGTTTCCCAAAAAAAAAAAAAAAAAAAACTTAGCCGGGCGGTGGTGGCGCACGCCTTTAATCCCAGCACTCGGGAGGCAGAGCCAGGCGGATCTCTGTGAGTTCGAGGCCAGCCTGGGCTACCAAGTGAGTTCCAGGAAAGGCGCAAAGCTACACAGAGAAACCCTGTCTCGAAAAACCAAAAAAAAAAACCAAAAAACAAAAAACAAGAGTTTGATGGGCTCTGAAGTCTTCATCTTTTCACAAAGATTTCCTTGGTCTTTATACGGGGTCTACTCTATGTCTGTCACTGAAGTCATTTCAATTCTTAAAATATGTTCCGTGTACCTCACCTGAATGTATGACAAAACTTGGAAAAAGTTTAATTAATTCGATTGTTAAAACTTGAAGAGCTCTTTAGAATTCTGCACAGTAACTTCAGTGTTTTAAAAGTAGAAAACAATAATAATTCTACCATCTGTACATAAATACATTAATACTTTGTAGCTTTTTATTGTCTCTTTGCAAAATATGTCAAAAAATGTGTTCTAACTTCTGTTATAAAACATTTTGACCAAGAGCAGCCTGAGGAGGAAAAGGTTTACTTGCCTTAATGCTACATACAGTCCTTCACTGAAGACAGTGCAGGAGATCAAGACCGGAACCCGAGGCAGGAATTGACTGAACCAGAGACTATGCTGCATGCTGGCTTGTTCCCATGGCTACTTCAGCTTGCTTGCTTATGCAGCCCAGGACCACTGGCCCATAGCTAGTGCTGGCCATTGCCCTCTCACACCAACCACCAGTCAAGAAAATGCTCACAAACTCCCCTACAGGCCAATTTTTCAGTTGAGGCTCCTCTTCCCAAGAGACTCTAGTTTGTGTTGAGCTGACCACAGAACAACCAGCACAGCGTGGTTTTATAAGTGAGACTTCCTTTGGTGTGACTTAGTGGAGAAATACTGCTTCAAAGAATATGAGAGGAAAACTTATCAGTGACTTTATGATTATTCAGCTTTAGTAAAAAGGTGAACGAAAAGGCATGTGTCAATGTTTAGACTGCTCTCAAATTATATTTGAGTTTCGTCCTCTGTTTTACAAACAGAACATGTTTTTGGCCATCATCAATGATACTTACTCGGAAGTGAAGTCGGATCTGGCCCAGCAGAAAGCGGAAATGGAACTCTCAGACCTCATCAGAAAGGTAGGCTATTCCCACAACTTTTTTCCTACATAAAAGGAACATTATTTTAATCAGCTTACCAAATCAACACTGATTCGCTGAAATTATTTGAAGTGAAGGGTAGATCTCTTTATTTCAGAAATAACTTAAATGTTTCCTTTGGTGAGAGGCTTGATAGGCTAGGACTTAAATTCTGAGGATTCTTTTATGGTCTAAATTCAACTTTAAAATAATTGTTTGGTTCTTAATCACTCAGTGCCCCGGAGTCCTGAGTTCACAACAGACTGAAAGGGGGGGGGGGGGCGCGGGGGCACACGCATCTAATTCCACCCTTGTCTCTGTTACCACTTGAACTGAGACAGAGGGAGGGCAGTGACTCTCCTTTCATCTCTAGCCTTTCTGTGTAGAGAACTGGAAGAAAAGATTCCCGATCAGGCCACAGCTTGGGGGCTGAGGACTTCCTTCACACCTTCTCAACAAGCATGTAATCATTAATTAGAAGGGAATGGTAGGGAAGTGCTTTGTTCTTCTCACTGTGGCTTCATTGGGCTTAAAGACTAAAACTTACATAAAAATAAATAAGAGCAGACAACGCCCTCCCGTCGTGGTAGGGTGGAAACGCCGCTTTACTGCTTTTCTGTTCAAGGTTAAGCCCCCTTGTGTGTGAATTCTGCTTTAAGGGAAAACTTCAGTTACATAAAGTCCCTTGGACAGAACCTAAGTGCCGTTGTCTTGGGTTCTACCCCACAGTTGATGGCGTTTTACTACTTTTTTAAAAGTAGAGCACGTAAGTACTCCACATTGCAGAGTTTTGATATTTATGAAATTCAATTGAGGATTCTTTTATGGTCTAAATTCAATTTATCAATTACATTGTTATGCAACATCAGGCCTTCAACAACAGGATTCAAATTTGTTTTGTCACAAAATATTGTGGGAGACAGCACAAAGTACGATCTGTTAGCTGTTTAGTCTACAGATGACCACCTAAGTAACGTGTGTATCTTCCTCAGTGGCCAGGTTATGACCCTTCCTTCTGTTGCTGACCGGCCACTGCACAGCTCTGCTTTAGTTCACACACCACAAAGCAGGTAGTGTTGCTCTCCTGTCCGCCTGTATCTTTTAATGCAAAGGAGAGCAGAAGAAGTGCCTCAGTGGTTAGGAGCACTTGCTGCTCTTTCAGAGGATTGGCATTTGGCTCCCAGCACCCTCGTGGAAGCTCACAACTGACCAACTCCAGTTCGGGGATCTTGACACCTTCTGGCCTCTGTAAGAACCCACAGGCACTTGTGCATAAATACACACATGTATGCACACACATAAATAAAAAAACATATTTTTTTAAAAGTAAAAAGCCTGGCTGAGAAAAAGAGAATGGGCCAACAAAGATAAAAACACAGCAGAGAAGCAGTGGCATAAAGAAACATGGTTGTAGAAGAAATACTTTACAGTGCGAAAGTAGTCACAGCCGCTGTGCGAAGGATCCAGGCAGACAGCTAAAGTAATTTAGCTGAGATCAGTTTATCAACAAATAAATAATACACATTATAATGAAAATATGTTGATGCTTGCAAATAACGTGACGTTAAAGTAACTCTTAGCAGAGTGTCTTAGTCACCACTGTTCTGTTGCATAACCAAGGCAACTTATCAGAAAAGCATTTAATTGGGGCTTACTTAGAGTTCCTGAGGCTGAGCCCATGATTGTGATTGTGGGGAGCATGGCATCAGGCAGACCCCATACTGGAGCAGTAGCTGAGCGTTCGCATCTTACCTGTGAGTTAGAGGCAGAGAGAGAGAGACTGGGAATGGTATGAGCTTTTGAAACCTCAAAGCCTACCCACCCCCAGTGATGTTCCAACAAGGCCACACCCAATTCTTTCCAAATAGTTTCACCAACTGTGGACCAAGCATTTAAATATATGATATGATAGGAGCCATTATCATTCAAATAGAGAATTTTTTTTCAATAATACATGAGAAAAATAAAAAATATTAGGAGCTGATCTATCTGTAGAGAGGGTGTGATAACTCACCAACATAGCAAGTGTGTTCAGCTTACATTTAAGGGAGGTGACAGCATCATAGAAGACAAGCCCTGTTCAGAATCCTGGATATGTTTACAAAGAAGTTAAAGACGTTTGTTTTCAGAGCTCTTAATAGTTTAAGTTTCCTTGCCTCAGTAAATATTGGACTTGGTTTTATATTTCTATAAATATTCAACTGAATATAGAATTATAAATAAATTCATACCAAGGTAATTTTTTAATGTTTTAATAAAGAAATTAAAGCTCGTAAAACAATTAATTTTATTCTTGATTGTTCAGTCCACTTTGCTCAATTTCAGCTCTATCACCCTGCTTATCATACAAAGCAAAATCTCTCTCTGCTTCACTTCTGCAGTCCTGGGTATGAACCCGGGACTCACAAATGACTGGCAGATACTTGATCACTAGAGCGTTTCTTTAGCATTGCCTCTAGTTCCTTGAAAATCCTCAGGTTTGTTTCACTGGCTTTAAAAAATATATTTTTACCTATAAGAAAATTCCTTACTATTGTATGAAAAATAAACAGCCCATAGCTGCTTCATTTCCTGTATGCCAGGGAACAAACAGCTATGGAATTCATAGTGGTGTACGTTTGAAATATAAACATACATATTTAACTTTATATTTCAGATGTAAACACACACACACACACACACACACACACACACACACACACGGAAAAGGTCCTTAGAATTATTGAAAGATACTGAGTTTTCTACAAGTTTTATAGAAAACTGAGATTACATTCATTACTCATTCGCGGACACATTTTTCTTGAATTGCCATCTTCTACCAAGTGCTGAACTTTCGTTTCACTGTAACTGAAAGACAAAAGGAGAATAAAAAACAAAATCATGTCTTTTTTTCTTTTCTTTTCAATAGGGCTACCAAAAAGCACTGGTCAAACTAAAACTTAAAAGAAATACTGTAGATGATATTTCAGAGAGTCTGCGGCAAGGTGGGGGCAAGTTGAACTTTGATGAGCTTCGACAGGACCTGAAAGGGTGAGGGCCGCACTGCTAGACCCTGGCAGTGACTATTGTACATGTTAATCCGTGGCTGATGAGAAGATGTTTCCTTCCCAAGTACTGGTAGAGAAATATTTTTCATTTGGGGAAGCAGGTATTTTTCTGGAACATGCTCTATGTCTCCCTTCCTCCTGCGTTCTGATGTTTCAGTGGTCAGGCTGGACCATGTACTGAAGAAATTCACCTCAATCCTCTCAAAACTTTCAGGAAAGGCCATACGGATGCAGAAATTGAGGCCATATTCACTAAGTATGACCAGGATGGTGATCAGGAACTGACGGAACGTGAGCATCAACAGATGAGAGATGACTTGGAGAAAGAGAGGGTGAGCACTTTAGGGGATGACTGGACTCGGTGTCCCCATATACTAATTACTGTTTTCCTTTTCCTCTCTCCCTACACCCTCAGCCTACACATTGGTAGCTTGACTATTCACTTTGTTTATTCTTGCTTTAAAATGTCAATCCATGAAATCACTGTAGAAAATCAGTCTGGAGGACAATCCATTTTCTCCTGGCCCAAGAACTTGGTAAAGTTTTTTGTGAAGTCTTGATATGTTGGCCCCTCACTGGAAGACTCCACATTCTTTAGGAGGACCTGGACTTGGAACATAGCTCTTTACCACGTCCCATGAGCAGCAGAAGTTTCCCGAGAAGCCTGGATGACTCTGAGGAGGAGGATGACGACGACAGCGGGCATAGCTCCAGGCGAAGGGGCAGCATCTCCAGCGGGGTTTCTTATGAAGAGTTCCAGGTGTAAGTACAAACGTTTTCCCATCTTTGTTGACCAGGGTCAAAACGAGATGACGCGACTTCTCAGGGAGTTAGACGTTCTCTTCGTGACGAATATCATTTCTTTCAAATAAGTTTTAGAGTATTTTTCTTTTCATGAAAGATCTTCATTATCAGAAATTAGGGAAGCAGAGAAAACATTAATATCCTCTGTGTTCCTTCCAACCAAAATATCTTAGCGAATTTTAGAGTCTGTGTTTCCTTTTACATGTGTGTGGCAGTGTTTTACACATCTTACGGCATAATACAGGATCTGTCCTTGAGGAGAATGTTCATTCTGCTGCTCCTCAGGGTTCAAGATGCCTGTCAGTTGCTGTCTCCTGTTTCCTGTTGGTGCTCTGCATGTTTATTTCTATCTGCTTTTGAAAGTGAGGTAATCACCTCTCTGTCATTATTATTCATGTATCCCTGTAATTCAAGAAGGTTCCGCTCAGTGTAGTTTGAAGCTGTTAGGTGCATACATGTTCATAACAAGTAAGTCTCAGTAGATCAGGCCTCCTTTCGCTATGTCTTTATCTTCAGTGAGATGCGCTGTGTCCCTCCTGAGAATGCAGCTCAGTGAAATTCTTTGTGCATCATAAACCAGCTTTTTTCTTGGTGCTTGCATTCTTTCTTTGCCTTTATCTTTCTGTACCTTCACTGTGGATGTCTAGATGTGCAGCTCTGAGTTGATCCTGCTTGTCGTTTTGAGTGTCTCGACTTTGCAGTGTTTCTCATCAAACCTGGGGAAAGTATGATTTGAAGATATGTTAGTCACGCATTTTTAAATGCCACAAGCTCTCACTTTTCTGTATTTGCCTTTTTGATAAATGATTTTCATTTGTCTTATATTCATAGGATTTCTAGACCTTTAAAAGGATTGAGTTTTTAAAAATAATTTTCAACAGCTACCCTTGTTATTATTCTTTTGTTTTGTTTTGTTTTTTGAGACAGGGTTTCTCTGTGTAGTCTTGGTGTCTGTCCTGGATCTCACTATGTAGACCAGGTTGGCCTCGAACTCACAGAGATCTGACTGGCTCTGCCTCCCGTGTGCTGGGATTAAAGGCGTGCATCACCACCGCCCGGCTAGTATTCTTATACTAGCATTTGAGAGGTTGTCCCCAGGTCACACGGTCAGTGGTTGTATACTGACCTGGTATGTGAGACACTCTTCAGTCACTAGGATCACAAGGAGAGGGGCCAGGGAGGGAGAATTCAAATTGTTGCCATTTGACATGTTTTAAGGCATTTAAATATTTTCATTCAAAATAACAAGATGTTGAAAGAGCATCCTATTTTCTAACAGTTTTATTAACTTGTAATTCTCTTTCAGGAAACATGACACAGTACAATTTCTGGTGTCACCTTAGACACCTATTGTATAGATGGATTGTACTTTATTTACATGATCTCCTACTGGTTGTTTAGCATAGCCACTATTCAGTGCTATGCTATGAAAAGCAACTCTGTATATGTGAATGAATTCTAATACAAAATGACATATATGAAATTTCATTTAGACACAATTTTATTGGCAAGAGGATGGAGGTTATCATTCCCACAAGCAGCTTATAACAGTTTGTCTCTAAGTCTTGCGAACCCTTAGAAAGTGTTTCCTGTTTCACACGGTCTTGGTATTTCTATTGGAAGAGTCAGGTGGGCTGAAGGACGAGGAGACGTGACCTGCTGTGTCCCATGTCGTCCCCTGCAGCCTGGTGAGACGCGTGGACCGCATGGAGCACTCCATAGGCAGCATAGTGTCTAAGATTGATGCTGTCATTGTCAAGCTTGAGATCATGGAGCGGGCCAAGCTGAAGAGGCGAGAGGTGTTAGGACGGCTGCTGGATGGGGTGGCTGAGGTAAGTTGTCGTGAGCCTCAGCTCACTGGTGGACAAGGTATTCATTGATAGAGATGGGCACCCATGACACCTTTCATTTGGAAATATTGAAGAAGAATAAAAACTATTTAAAGTTACATTTACATAATTCACAAATATTGTTTCTGTTCACTTTTATTTTCAGATTTTTTTTTCTCCTTAAACAGAAACATTCTTTAATTCTGTAGAGCATAAAGGTAGTCATCACATTTCATAACTCTTAACCTGATGCTTGTCTTCCTCCTTATGTAACCTTAGATCAAATAATAATCTGGAGGCACGACTCTTCATAATCCACCCTCTGAGAGTGCTACCAGCAGTGGGGGATACAATTAAGTGAAGAATTATTCCTCTGATTCTCAGAACTGTTAATGCATACTGTCTCTTACATAACTACAGCTTTTTTCAACTAAAATTCCTAACTCAGTTTCTGTGTAGATTATGTAACAGCATGCAGTGCCCTGGTTTCTGCCATGTCTTTGATTTCCTTGTTAGGATGAGAGGCTGGGTCGTGACAGTGAGATCCACAGGGAGCAGATGGAGCGCCTGGTACGGGAAGAGTTGGAGCGCTGGGAATCGGACGATGCAGCATCCCAGACTGGTCATGGTCTAGGTACACAAATGGGACTCAACGGTCAGCCTCAACCCAGAAGTTCCCGGCCTCCTTCCTCCCAGTCTGCAGAGGGCCTGGAAGGTGGAGGTGGAAATGGAAGTGCCAATACCCACGTGTAATAGTCCACGAGTGTTTGTATGTGTGTTCCTGAGATCCCAAGAGGTGGGTGTCAAGTAGGACAATGGCATTTACGGTATTTATATGCCCGGCTACGTGATGATGCTGGTCTTTGTGACTAATTGTTATAGTTTTCTGCACTTTTAATTTATTTTACATAAACTTTACCCATGATTCAAGGAAGATTGTTTTACTTTTTCTCATATGAGAAATCTAGATGTAAATACTGAGTTCAGAAGACAAAAAAAAAAAAATTGAAAGTACACCCAGTTGCTGCCTTACCCAAGTCTTAAAAGCTGCTCTGAGTTCATGTCCAGCCCCTGCAGTCAGCAGTGGCAGGCCTGTACAGTGCGTTAAGGAAAACCAGACATGTCTTTCCACTCAGAAGTAACTTGGGAGCTTACTGCAAACTTCCTTCTAAAAGAGGAGTCTTATTTCACCAACCTTTCTGGGGTGAACTTTTCTCAAAAATGAAGTAGGAGAGAACTCCAAAGCAAAGTATGGATGTGTAGCCATTGTTAAAATGTGTATGAACAGTTGAGGTAGATGTTAAGTGCTGTCCCTTTTGCTATTATATTCTGAGTTTGTGGGACTAACCATATCATTTATTTTTTGTATTATTTAGCTTTTGTTGGAAATTTGGTAAGAGAAGCCAAAAAGATAAATTATAGGATAAAATGTGAGAGAATTGGGAAGAGCCTTAATATGTCACTAAACTTGACTTTTCAATTCTTTGTTAGCATAGAAATTTCTCCGTTTTTCTTTCTTGTGTGTCTCATTTACAACTGAATCTAATATCAAAATAACTAATGAATAAGACAAACTTACTGAATATTTTAGTATGCAATGGAAGTTTTAATTGAGCAAATATGTACATGTGAAGCAGTATTTTAAGGAAGTTTTAAAATGCATAAAAGCTCTGTAAAAGTAAAGGTTTGACTTAAGTTGTATCTAGAATGTAGTTCTCAAGTATCCTTAATCTTATATTTCAGAATGTAAATGTATAATGCAAATTTAGTTCAGTTTCGTGTAAGGGGCCTCTAGTATTAAGGGGTTATCCATTATTAGACGGGATCAGCTAAAAGTTGCATATTAGCAATGATTTTCATAAGGTGAGGGTCTTACTAAATTTATGGGAGAAATCTCAATATATGTTGTTGTTGTTGTTAAAGATGGTCTCACTGTGCAGCCCTGGCTGTCCTGGAACTAACTTTGTAAACTAGACTGGCCTCAGACTCACAGAGATCCACCTGCTCTCTGCCTCTTACATGCTGGTATTAAGGGCATGTGTAACCACACCAGACTAAAACAATTGTTTTTAGAAAGTGCTGAATAACCTGGCCTTTTGAGAGCCATCAGGTAGAGAAGAGGTAGAAAAGAGTCCTGGGCTTTAGTGCTGTTCTTTAAATTCTCAAGCATTTATTTACTTCATAGGATACATCAAACCACCAACAAACTGCTGAGCAGGCAGGCCTTTCTAGCAGCTTCTACGGACACGAAGCATGTTGTGTCCCCTTAACGCCGATGGCACCATGTCTATCTTACTCTCTTTTAGATATGCTACGCTAATTTTTGTCTTCCTAGGTATTGAAGTTTGCATTCCAGGGTTATTGTGTGTATGTATTTATGTATGTGTACAATGTTGTTACAAGTAAACAAACTTCAATTTGAAGTGCATTCATTATGTGGTATCCATGTGTATCGACCATGTGCCATATATCTATTATGGTCACTAGAACATCTTTTTATGATGCTTATTATTATACTGTTTTTCATTTAACTTGTAAAATTTTACAGAATTCATTTTCTTTTTTTCCCTTTCACATATACGTTCATATATTTTTCTACTTTGGTCCTGGGAAGGCCAATCCTAATCTCTTTTCTATTATTCTCCTCTCTGTAATGGGCATAATTTAAGATATTATATATCCAAGGTTCTCGGACAATCAAGAATTTCCTAACTGTAATAATGTGTATATTACTTAATAAAGACTTGACATGGAAAGAAAGAGTTGCTTTTTATCATGGCATAGACCCTGGAAAAGTGCATTGTAGCTTGAGTTTTCCTGCCTGGCCCACAGTCAGGACAAATCTCTGACACCCGCCAGTCTCACAGTCACTCAGACCCAACCAAGTAAACTCAGAGACTTATATTGGTTACAAACTGTATGGCTGTGGCAGTCTTCTTGTTAACTGTTCTTATAGCTTAAATTAATCCATTTCCATTAATCTATACCTTGCCACATGGCTCATGGTTTACCGGCATCTTTACATGCTGTTTCTCATCATGGCGGCTGGCAGTGTCTCTCTCACTCAGCCTTCCACTTCCCAGCTCTATTCTCCTCCTTGTCCCGCCTATACTTCCTGCCTGGCCACTGGCCAATCAGTGATTTATTTATTGACCAATCAGCAACACATGGGACATACAGACCATCCCACAGCAGTGCCTTCCTTTCTGTGTCCAGTAAGGACACAAGTAACACATTTCTATACTTTTTACACTAAACATACATTTTTAGACTCTCAGAAAACCCATCATGCACAGTATTTTTTTCCTTTTCCTCACAGAAGTATAATCCAGGACAGACTCCAGGCAGGTAGACATTTGGGACATATAGGTAATAGGAATGGCAGAGTGAGAAAGACGGAAGAGGGAAAATGTCGGAAAGGGTATGTCGGTACACTGTTAATATTATTGGCTGCTGGAACACTGAGAAATAGTGTGCCATGCTCAATTCACAACTCCCCCCCCCAATAATGGCAGTAATTCTCTTGTACTAATGGTAAACAAAGCAACCCTTCTTGAGTTCTGGGTAAGGAAAAACTTGTAGACCTGATAGCTGGTACTTAGTGGGCACACTCTACAGGGATATGCCACAAAGGATTTGCCTGCATGATGTCCTAGGCATAATCATGCATGGTTCAGTTCCATGTGTTTTTATTCCCCTAAGATACAATGCAGACAATGAGTGGAGTTGTTTCACATGGCTCTTATCTATCACCCATACAGTGGAGGAGAAAATAACATTTACCTTAGTTACTTTCTATTGTTGTGCTAGGATAGATCCCTTGACCAAGGCAACTTACAGAGAAAAGAGTTTATTGGGGCTTACAGAGGGTGAGTCCATGACCATCAGGGTGGGGAGTATGGCACTAGGTAGGCAAGCATGGCACTGGAGCAGTAATTCAGAGCTTACATCTGGTTAATAAACATGATGTGGAGAGAGCTAACTGGGAATGGTGTGATTGTGTGTGCTATTGAAACCTCAGAAACCCCCTCCTTGCCCCTCAGTGAAATAAGGTAAGACTTCCTAATCCTTGCCAAATAGTTCTACCAACTGGGGACCATATGCAAGAAACCAAGCATGGCCAATATTGCTCAAAAAGCTACTATATGAACTAGCTCCACTCCTCTGCGTATGGCCAGAGGACTTGACATTGTTCTGCACAGATGCTTGCTCAGCAATGTGCATTGCTGCTCTAGTCACAATAGCTAATAAATGGAAACAACCTAAATACTCTTCAGCTGATAGATGAATAATACAAATGTGGTGCATGTATACAATGGAATAACATTCAGCTGCAAGGAAAAATGCAGTCATGAAATTTGCAGGTGAGTATAGCTCTCACCAAGCTGTCAGCATTAAAGGGTTGCTGGAAGAACAGAAGTAAATAATCTCCCACCCATGGCAGTGGGCCACACAAAAAAGACATAAAAGTCAGGGGCAGAACAGATGAAGAAGGGGGAAGAGAATGAAAGAGGGTAATGGGGGAGATGATCAAAGAACATATTTGTATGAAATTATGGAAGAACCAATTTTAAAAATAAAGAATAAGGAAAGCTGAGATTTTTGAGTGGTATTTTTCTGGGGGAAGTAAGATTTACCCTAAAAAAAAAAAAGTGCTCAGTTTTTTTCACAGTTGGGAAAGGTATCTAAATAGAAACAACTGCCTAGGGAATGGCCATGCCATTTATACAGTACCTATTGTTATGTGCAAAGCAATGTTAGAGCCTGGTGATGGTGGATAAAAAAAAAAATGTAGGTCCCTATCTGTCCAGAGCTTACTATTGAGACAAACAAACTTAGTTGCTGTGGGATGTCTTTCTGTAGGCTGTGAATATGTGTTGCTCTGATTGGTTAATAAACAAAGCTGTTTGGCCAATGGTGAGACAGAATAAGGTGAGGTGGGACATTTGAACTGAAGAGAGAGGAGAAGAAAGGAGAGTGGGACAGATGCTGTGAGCTGTTGCCAAAAGAAGCAAGATGTGAAAGTACCGGTTAGCCATGAAGCCACATGGCAGTGCGTACGTTAATAGAAATGGGCTGAGTTAAGTTGTAAGAGCTAGCTAACGAGAAGGCCAAGCCATTAGGCCATACAGTTTGTAAGTAATGTAAGTCTCTGTGTGTTTACTTAGGTCTGCGCAGCTGCAGGACCAGACAGGACACAGGAAAACTTTCAACTACACTTAGTGTCAGGAAAAAAGATGCGTATCTTACTTGATTTTATGTATTATTGCCTGTTGTTTTATGACATAGCAGTTGGATATACACATATATGAACAATGATTTTATATGCAGATCGCAATAGAAATGGTAATTTTCAGAGATAATTTCAAAATGAGTTCAAATCTTAATGTGTGTTTAAACCCTAATGTCTTTTTACATTAAAAAGAATTTTTTTGTTTTTGTTTTTTTGAGACAGGGTTTCTCTGTGTAGTTTTGGTGCCTGTCCTGGATCTTGCTCTGTAGACCAGGCTGGCCTTGAACTCACAAAGATCTGCCTGGCTCTGCCTCAGAGTACTGGGATTAAAGGCGTGTGCCACCACCTCCTGGCCTTAAAAATAATTTTAATCTAAAGAAAAAAAAAAGTATAGCCCTCACCTTTCATCAAAGCTTCTGCTTTTCATAGCCGATGGAGACCATGACAGAAAACCACAACTAGTCAATATCCCCATAACCCCAGTATAATTTCCAATAGTTTTATAAAATATTTCCATGTTTCTGTCAAGATGCATGCGTCCTTCAGATTAAAAAAAGTTTTAGTTTTAGCCAGGCAGTGGTGGCAGCGCATTCCTTTAATCCCAGCACTCAGGGGGTTCTCTCTGTGAGTTCAAGGCCAGCCTGGTCTACAGAGCAAGATCCAGGACAGGCACCAAAACTACACAGAGAAAGCCTGTCTTGAAAAACCAAAACAAAAAAAGTTTTATAAATAGCTTTAAGAGTTTGGTTGGGAACAAATCTTTATAGCAGTTGTGTGCACTGAACAATTTTAGTCATGCTTCCCTAGCTTGTGGCCTGTTTTGTAGTTTGGAGACTCATTAGCATATTTGCAGAAGTAAACTGAATTCTCCCTTTAACACACTTCCTGATCTTCCATCAGTTAAATCACCGCATGGTTTTCCCGAAATTTCACGGAACTGTTTGAATTGAGCATTCCCTTTCAAATGAAACTGCGAGCGACCCCAGAGTCAGCATCAGGGAGGTGTTTTCTAACAGGAAAGCTCTCAGGGCCAGGTGACCTAGGTTACCCCAGTTCAGTTCCGCCCCCCGCTTAACCGCGGTCCAGCCGCGCATGCGCAGAGGGCACGCCGAGGAACCGCTGTCGCTCGGCAGTGACGTCAGCCAGGTGCCGGGGAGCTGCTGCCCGGCTCTCCACGAGCGTCGCTCCGTCGGGCCGGCTGGGTCTGGTTGGGTCTCCGTCGAGCTGGGTCTGGTGGACGCTGAGCGGCGAAGCCCCTTCCCGAGCCGCGGCCTCGAGGCGGTTCCCGGCGGCCGGGCCCGGAAGGCGCGGGTCCGACACGGCCGCGGACGGCGACGTGGGCCGGGCGCGAGGAGGTGAGTTCGGAGGGCGAGCGGGCGGGCGGGCGTGGGCAGCGGCCTCCATCCCGCTGGGCCGCGACTGGACGCCCACCCGTCCGGAAACACGCCGGGAAGAGCCGGGACTCCGAGGCTTTCCCGGGCTTTCCCGGAGGAGGCGGAGGCCATCAACTTCGGTGTCATCAGGCGCTTCCTAAGCCTGGGCTTTTGGTGGCTCCTGTTGGCATCACTCAGTACACAGAATGCCCACCTGACGGGCAATAGGTGGTGTCCGGGCAGTGAGCTTCGGAGAGTGAAACTGTGTCCCAGGTGCAGTAAAATTAGGAGCGGGAGCAAAAGGGGTGAAGAGATTGAAAGTATTACTGGGAGCGGTTTCAGTGTTCTTCTCACTGTTGTTAGAAGTACTTTTCTGTAATATTCTGAGGTTGTAGAAATGATGGGAACGGGGGTGGCGGGGCGGGTTGGGGGCGCGCGATTAGATTAGTTTAGGTTCAAGAAAAGGACGGAATACCAGGCGTTTAGGAGTGTGTATTGCTGTCTCTGGGTTTGCCTGATGTATTGACCCTCAGAAATTTAGCACCTGTAGGACCTATTTTCAGGATCACATTTATAAGCAAAATCAGAACATCAGCTGTGTTAAATTAACACTGGGAGTTATTGTTAATTCTTCACGCAGTGCAATAAACGTAGCCAAGATGTTCAGACAAGAACACTGGTTGTTTAGAGTGCTGAAAATACTACTATGTATGCTTTTAACAAACGTTAGGTATGTCTCCATGATATGCTCAAACATTTGGCAGGAGTTATTCTTTTGGATGCCTTTTAAAAGACGTCTTAATCTTGAAAACTCATTCAAGTACACACATGCTTCATCTACTCTTAACAATTATTTTGATACCAACAAGCTCCGTAGTTCCAAGAGAGGACATAGAGATCAGTGGTTCTTAACCTATGGGTCACCACCCCTTCAGGGGTCAAACCACCCTTTGAACAGGAGTCACCTAAGACCATCAGAAAACACAGATGTTTACATTACGATTGATAACAGTAGGCAAAATTACAGTTATGAAGTAGCAACGAAAATAATTTTATGCTTGAGGAACATGAGGAACTGTATTAAAGGGTTTCAGCATTAGGAAAGTTGAAAACCACTGACAGGTAAAAAAAAACAGAAGAAATTAAAAGAAAACACATGACAAAACAGACCAGGACAGTGATCTGAATGAAAGATTCTGGCATTATGAAAATAAACCATATAGGTCGATTTTAATTCACACTATTGCTAATATAGAGAGCTGTGTGTGTAAAACATACCAAATACCTATATATCAGAACCAGCTGGATGGAAATAAGGAAAATGTTAATTGGCTAATAGTATAAGGTTTCCCTTCTTCCTTTTTTTCCCTCTCACTCAAAATAGGTCTAAAACCAGTAGACTAAACCATAGCAAAGAAGTTTTTGCCATATTGTTGCTTAAAATTTTAAGACATTTTAGTTTGTCATTTTTCATATTGAGATATTCATTTATTTCCTGAATTAATTCCTTAATGTGACCCAAATACTTTTCATGTTAATCATAATACTGTCACCTTTTATTGGACAAATTCAGAAAGAGCCCATATTTCATAAATACACTGCATGGCAAAGAAACTAATCATTTTAAATTAATAATTTCTCGTTGTATTGGAAACTGTTTTTTAAATTGGTGTATTTTATTGTATGAGTGTTCTGCTTGTGTGTATGTACACCATATGTGTGCCTGTTGCCCATAGAAATCAAAAGAGGGCATGAAGTCCCCTGGCACTGGAGTTACTAATGGGCGTGAATCACTGTGTAAGTTCTGGGAATTGAATCCCCGTCCTCTGCAAGACCAGCCAGTGTTCTTAACCACTGTGCCATCTCTCCATCCCCTGAAGCCAATTTTATAATATTAATTTGGTGAGTGTGTGATATATGTATGCATGTATTTGCAAGTGTGCTCACCCACATGTTCCTTGCCAAGGCTGGGGTCAACATGAGGTGGCTGTCACTTTCCACCTTTTTGTTTGTTTGTTTTTTATTTTTGAGATGGGGTCTCTTTTTTTTTTTTTTTTTTTTGGTTTTTCGAGACAGGGTTTCTCTGTGTAGCTTTGCGCCTTTCCTGGAACTCACTTGGTAGCCCAGGCTGGCCTCGAACTCACAGAGATCCGCCTGGCTCTGCCTCCCGAGTGCTGGGATTAAAGGCGTGCGCCACCACCGCCCGGCGAGATGGGGTCTCTTAATAACAGTTTAGGCTAGGCTAGGCTGGCTGGTGAACTTCCTAGGTGTGCCTGTTTGTACCCATCTCCATCCTCCAACTGTGGGGTTACAGATGTGTGCTCCCGGTTTTTATGTGGGTTCTGGGGATCCAAACTGAGGACCTCATGCCTGAGCAGCAAGCATCCACTGAACTGTCTCCCAAGTCCAAAAGTCATTTTTGAAAGCCCAGATTTTACTTTCAGTGCTTCAGTATTTCATCCACAAATTGGAAAAGTAGCGCCTTTTTTCAACCTGAGTTTCTTGATACATTCCCACAGAAGATCACTGATGTCTTTTCTCACAGTTTGTATAGTTACTCATCCTAGAACCTGGTGGCTGTTTTGAAGAACACCTAATTTGACACCATAAGACATAATTATTAAAAAACTTCTAGTCATTTCTTGGACAATGAAGTTGTTAGAAAGGTACCTGGTTTGGGTACCACAAGGTGACTGTTTTATACTATCCAGCTAATTAAGCTTTTTTTTCTTTAAATTTTATGTGTTTGAGTGTTTGCTTACATTTATGTATGGGCACCACATACATGCCTAGTGCCCTCAGAGGCCAGAAGAGGGTGTCAGATGTGGTGAGGTGATATATTGTGTCCCCAATAAATTGTGTACCCTAATAAAACTTATCTGAGGATCAGAGAACAGAACAGCCACTAGATTAGACATAGAGGCCAGAAAGTGGTGGCATATACACCTTTAATCCTAGCATTCCACTACCACACACTTCAACCTCATCAATCTCATGATTCTCAAAAGGCTTCCGGATAAAATGTTCTCTCCATTTCAGTGTGAGTCCTCTGTTAAAGTGTGTTAAACAGTATCCGCTGAAAGCACTGTAGACTTTTTTTAAGACTGTTGTCTAGGAGCCATATCAGTAGGGTCTGCAGTGAAGAGAGGGTGGGTAGGCTCGACTCCAAGTTTGGGATGGGCAAGAGGGAATTTATAGCTAAGAATTAGAGTTGGGGGGTCAGTGAATAGAAAATGCCTAAGGGAGATTCTGTCTAAACTGACTTCTAAAAATCCTTACTGAAAACATCCCAGAGTAGTTAGACATCATTTGGGGAATAGTGGAAGATAAGGAATCTGCCCTTACTGTGGTTGTGATCAAATACGAAGAATGAGTTCCAGGGTTCTTATTAAACTGATTCATAGAGTTCTTTGCTGAAGGTGAATTTAAAAAGGAAGGTTATATGTGGCCTAGGAGGAAAAAGTTTGGTGTCTAACTCCTGGCCAGACAAAAATCATCATCCTTATCCATCAGGATCCACACTGGAGTCAGAGCTGGGACTGAAGCAGCCCTTCAGCTGTGCTGCTGTTCTCCACCCACTCACACAGACGTCCTCACGCTGCCTTGCCAAGTGGCTTCATGTATCTGTCATCCTCACAGGAAGGGAAGAGGGTGCTGACATATGTCACAATTGTGGCTTACAGAGCTTCTCACTTACTGTGGCCACCATTGCCTATTTCTATTCTCCCTGCTCAGCAGTGTTCTTACCTGTTCATACACAGATCTTGTGAAAGTTGATGACATCTAAACCTACTGAGCCTAGCAGTTACTTGACTTAATGCATGGACTTATTGAGCATATATGCTATATTTAGTCCATAGAGTTCCTTCAAATATGTGTCCTTATTGTATCTCTCCCACATTTCTGTGGAATATGGTACAACACAAAGCTGCTAAAGAAATTTGATTTTCTGTGCAGTGACAGCTTCATTTCTTGAAATGAGATCTACACTCTGAGATGAAGTTATGTTGGAGCTTTTGTTTTTGCAGATTTTTATGGCATTTGAGTTTTTCTCTTTGGACCATGGATATTTATGAAAACATACATATGTGCTTGATTATCCTTTTGAGAACATACAGCATTTGCATATTGTCTTCCATTGTTTTGTTTGTATTTGAGAAGTTCATTTGCTTTGTGTTTTGGGTTATCAGGAATTGTGTGTGAGTTCTGGGGGCTAAGTGTCCAAATTAAGGTGCCAGCAGGACTCTGCTACCTCCTAAGCTTAGAGGGGAATCTTTTCTGGCCTCTTCCTAGCATCTGGTATTGGGTCAATCCTTGGTGTCCTTGACGTATAGCTTCATTTCTCCAGTCTTCTGTTTTCCATATGTCTGTTTCTTAGGACCATTCTCTTATAAAAGTGTCTACCCTGTTGATTTTCAACCTAAGGATTTCCTGGTGTTCCCATTGTGACCTAACATATAACCAGTTTTTGTAAATCTTCCACAAATACTTGAAGAAAGATATGAGTGATCTTTTTTGGTATGATACAGAATGAATATCCCTCATCTGTAGTACTTAGAACCAGAAGTATTGGATATTTGTGGAGTTTCCCCAGATTTTAATATATTTGATATATCTTACAGATTGGACCCAAGTTTGTATATGCCTTTATATACGGTATATAATGTAACATATAATAACATTTTATCAGTGTTGTAATGTTTTTGTGAATGAAATAGAGTTTTGTGTTGTGTAATTTTTTTCATCCGTGGTGTCTGTTGATCAGACAAAACTTTTCAGACTTTGTATCAAATTCACATCTCTTACTTTGGGGTTAGGGATCCTCAGCATGTATGAAGTTTGATATATTTTTTTAAATATGTCTTGATGCTTTGTTCAATATATTAAGAATTTATGATAGTCAAATCACTGTTATATGATAACAAAATAATTTATATATATCTTATTACTTTTTACATGAATCTGAGTCTCTATGGGGGGTGTGTGGAGGAGGCCAGAAGAGCATGTCAGATCCTCAAGAGCTTGAGTTACATGTAGTTGTAATATAGGTATGGATATGGGTGCTGAGAACCTGACTGAGGTCCTCTTCAATAGGAGCCAGCATTCTTAACTACTGCACCATCTCTCCAGCCCCAATATCAAATAATTTTTATTAAACTTAATACTTCATTAAGTAGGTCATTTTCTTTATGATGTAGGTCGTTTTCTTTATCTGATGAATATAAAGAAAACTTGTTTAAAAAATTTTTTGTCCTTACTGTTTTTTAACGATTGCTTTATTTTTTACATAAATGTCCACTTTAAATGATGTTACAAAAATTCTAGAGATGCCTTTTACATTTTTAACCTGTTACTGGAACTTGGTCATCTTACGAGCATTTAATCCATTCACATTCCATGCATTGTAATCATTAATCTCTTATTATCATTTGCCATTTTTATATTAGATATAATTTTATACTATCTTGTATATTGTTAAATATTTGTACATATATTCTCTCTGTAATAGTAACAAGATAGTCTACACTAGCTATTTTGAAGTGATTGACTGTGTTTGTGTTTGAAAGTAGCTTTAGTTCAGCATTAGTTTCCATGCTGCTTGTAATGACCTGTGTTTTGGTGTGTATTATTTTGGATTTTGTTGTGGAAAGAAGAAAATTCAACTGTTAAAACAAGAGTTAAATAAAGAAAAAAAAGTAATGTTGTATGTGATGCTTGTGTCTGTTACCTGACATTTTAATATTATTCTTTTTGGTCCTCATTTAAAGTTATTTCATGCTCTCACTTTGTTCTTCACAATACATTTTGTTTAGAGTGTGTGGGATTTTTTCCATCCAGAATGAAAGAAGTGAACTTTTCCATTGCAATTGACACTATACAAATAAATTCACATACATTTCTGTGTTTAGGCTTCATAAAAGCTCTTGATCTTATTTTCACTTTCTTGGTAACAAAAGTTAACCTCAGGAGTTATGACAGCTGTTAATACCAACACATTGAGTTATTAGCCCAGAGACAGATATTCAAGATGGAGCACAGCTGGTGTAGAAACTGTTTGATGCAAATCCAGTACTCATAGAACTGTCGTCTACTGTAGACTTGTGGTCTAGCTGTTCCTGACTTGTGTAGAACTGTCAGTCATAGATATCTGGGACTTGTCAGAACCTGACTCAAGACAGGGTCTAAGGTCACTTACGGTGATCATAGGTCTATTAAATAGTCATCCTTCAAAGCTAGAGACTTCTCTGGCTGTGCAGCAGAGGGTGTTGCACACCAAGCAGATTTGTCCTTCCCTCTGAAAGCTATGAAAGGCCCTATAGAGCCTGAGAATTTCAGATGCCAATCTAAGTATGATAAGAAAATAAAACATTTTAAAATCACTGCACAAAATGCATATATTTGTGTATTTGCATATACCTATCAAATTTAGAAGTAAAAAAATTTTTATTTTAAAAACCATTTTCTCATAGGAAACCCCAGTATCATCTGTTATCATTTTACATTAATTGGAAGTAATCTTAATCATTTAGTTGTCATTGAGGATTCATCGGGTCTTACTCCTTCAAGTCCTCTTCACTCTTTTATTGACTTCAGAGCAGTGGTTTTCAATCTTCCAATGCTGTGACCCTTTAATACAGGTCCTCATGTTGTGTTGACCCCCAACAATAAAATTACTTTGTTGCTACTTCATAACTGTAATTTTGTTACTGTTATGAATCATAATGTAAATATCTGATATACTTATCTGTTGGGTTACCTACTATGTGACCCGCAGGTTGGTAACTGCTACTCTACGTCTACAAAATGCTTCTGCAGAGGACGCAGTGTCCATTCCTTTATGGGAGCTGGATGGGCAAGATACCTGGAACTATTAGGAGCTCTTCTGGAGGGACAGATTAACTCTAGATTATCTATGTGTCTTCTGCCTCCTCCTCGGTTCACTCAGTATGAACTGAATATTTGTGGCTTAGGTTAGAGATTTCCACCCAGGATTTGATTAGCAGACAGGAGGCAAATGGGTATTTGTCAGCCTCCAAAAGGAAAATGATGATGAACCAAAGTGGTAATTATAGCAAGTTGAAGAAAAACACTTTATGTAGAGATGTGGTAGAGTTAAGGGAACCAGCAGGGAAGGAGAGGCACTTGGAGAAGTTACCTCCTCCAGGTTGAGGGGGACCAGAAAGAATAGCATGGCGGGATGCAGGGAAAAGATTTTCCAGCAGCCGTGGCCAACACTAGAAGCATGGTTGAACAAACTGTAGAAGGGGGAAAACTCAACCTCAGCCTCCTCTAACCCACAGAAATCAAAGGATCCCAAGTGGTAGTCACCAAAGGGTCATTTCTCAAAGCCAGAACCAAGAGGAGTGGAGACTCCACCTGGGGGAACTGAGAAGGGTCCCCTAGCAGAGTAAGCAGATCAAGCACAGGTTCAGCACGAGGAGTTACCAAGGCTTAGGTGGGATTCTGAAGACAGTCGCAGGGTCTGCTGACTAGCCTGTCGGAGTCAGCTGTTTCACATAAGCCAATATGAATAAGCCAATGAGATTGTGATACCTAGAAAAATGATGCAGAAAGAAGGTAAGGCTAAGAGAAAACCTGGGTCGGTACTCAGTCCTTCACTAAGGACAGCTCCCGGATGGAGTTATTTGGCGCAGGGAACTTATGAGCCGTGCCTTTGGAAGTTTATTTGGCTCTTTCTTCGTTGCAGTGACCTACAGTGTGTGTGCCAGCGGGCACAAAGTCGCCCGGACAGCAGACTGTGACACTGTGCCTCCAGCACTCCCAGCTTCCAGTCCCTGAATCAGAAAAGTAATTCAACCCTAAAACCCTTTCTTCAGAACGCTCAGCTTCCAGCATTCTCTGTGGGCCGAGCTCTCCTTAGACCTTCAGCAAGTGTGAGTGCGGACTGCACATCCGGGACTCTGTTACTAGGGAAGAGAAGATGGCGATGGCCTCAGCAACTGTGGTGGTTCCCACAGAGTGGATCAAGAACTGGGAGAAATCTGGGAGAGGCGAGTTTTTGCGTTTATGCCGGATTCTCAGTGAAAGTAAAAGCCGTGACACTTTGGCTTGTAGAGATTTCCAACAAGCTCTCTATGAATTGTCATACCATGTCATTAAAGGAACTTTAAAGCCTGAACAGGCATCAAATGTTCTCAGTGACATCAGTGAATTTCGTGAAGATATCCCGCTTATTCTTGCTGATATATTCTGCATATTAGACATTGAGACGAATTGTTTAGAAGAAAAAAGCAAGAGAGATCACTTTACACAATTGGTATTAGCATGTTTATATTTAGTTTCAGACACAGTTCTAAAGGAACGCTTGGATCCAGAAACATTGGAATCATTAGGCCTTATTAAGCAATCACAGCAGTTCAATCAAAAGTCAGTTAAAATCAAGACAAAACTCTTTTATAAACAACAGAAGTTCAATTTGTTAAGAGAAGAAAATGAAGGTTATGCCAAGCTTATTGTTGAATTGGGGCAAGATTTATCTGGAAATATTACTAGTGATTTAATCTTAGAAATTCTCAAATCTTTAATAGGATGCTTTAATCTGGATCCCAATCGAGTTTTGGATATCATTTTAGAAGTGTTTGAGTGTAGGCCAGAACACCATGACTTCTTTATATCTTTATTAGAAGCCTACATGAATATGTGTGAACCACAAACACTGTGTCATATTCTTGGATTCAAATTCAAGTTTTACCAGGAGCCAAATGGTGAGACTCCATCATCTTTGTATACAGTTGCAGCAGTACTTCTGCAGTTTAATCTTATTGATTTGGATGATCTTTATGTACACCTTCTTCCAGCTGATAGTTGCATTATGAATGAATACAAACGAGAAATTGTGGAAGCTAAGCACATTGTTAGAAAACTTACTATGGTTGTGTTGCCTTCTGACAAAAGTGATGAACGAGAGAAAGAAAAGAAAAAAGATGATAAAGTAGAGAAGGCACCTGACAATCAAAAACTTGGTTTGTTGGAAGCCTTGTTAACTATTGGTGATTGGCAGCATGCACAGAGTATTATGGATCGGATGCCTCCGTACTATGCAGCATCACATAAAGTAATAGCCCTTGCTATTTGCAATCTTATACACGTAACTATTGAGCCTCTTTACCGAAGAGTTGGTGTTCCTAAAGGTGCTAAAGGCTCACCTGTCAATGCTTTACAAAGCAAGAAGTCACCAAAGCAGGCAGAGAGCTTTGAGGACTTAAGGAGAGACATATTCAGTATGTTCTGTTATCTTGGTCCTCACCTTTCCCATGATCCCATCTTATTTGCAAAGGTTGTGCGCATAGGCAAGTCATTTATGAAGGAATTTCAGTCTGATGGGAAACAAGAAAATAAAGAGAAAATGGAAGTTATCTTTAGTTGTTTGCTTAGTGTTACTGATCAGGTACTGCTTCCATCTCTTTCTTTGATGGACTGCAATGCGTGTATGTCAGAGGAACTATGGGGAATGTTTAAAACATTTCCTTATCAGCATAGATACCGCTTATATGGCCAGTGGAAGAATGAGACTTACCACAGTCACCCACTTTTAGTAAAAGTTAAAGCCCATACAGTAGACAGAGCCAAGTACATCATGAAGCGTCTAACCAAGGAAAACGTGAAGCCTTCAGGAAGGCAGATTGGGAAACTGAGCCACAGCAATCCAACCATTTTGTTTGATTATGTCTTGTCACAAATACAGAAGTATGATAACTTAATAACACCTGTGGTAGACTCATTGAAGTATCTCACTGCGTTGAATTATGATGTTTTGGCCTACTGTATCATCGAGGCATTAGCTAATCCAGAAAAAGAAAGAATGAAACATGACGACACAACCATCTCAAGCTGGCTTCAGAGTCTGGCTAGTTTCTGTGGTGCGGTTTTTCGTAAATACCCAATTGATCTTGCTGGTCTTCTTCAGTATGTAGCCAATCAATTAAAGGCAGGCAAAAGTTTTGACCTGCTTATATTGAAAGAAGTGGTTCAAAAGATGGCAGGAATAGAAGTTACAGAAGAAATGACAATGGAGCAGCTAGAGGCTATGACTGGTGGGGAGCAGCTGAAAGCGGAGGGTGGATATTTTGGCCAGATAAGAAACACTAAAAAATCCTCTCAGAGATTGAAGGATGCACTACTGGACCATGATCTTGCCCTTCCTCTTTGTTTGCTTATGGCTCAGCAGAGGAATGGGGTGATCTTTCAGGAAGGCGGAGAGAAACATTTGAAACTTGTAGGAAAGCTGTATGACCAGTGTCATGATACTTTGGTACAGTTTGGTGGATTTTTAGCATCAAATTTAAGCACAGATGACTACATAAAGAGAGTACCTTCAATTGATGTGCTTTGTAATGAATTTCATACACCCCATGATGCAGCATTTTTTCTGTCTCGGCCAATGTATGCACACCATATTTCATCAAAGTATGATGAACTTAAGAAATCAGAAAAGGGAAGTAAACAGCAACATAAAGTTCATAAGTACATTACATCATGTGAGATGGTGATGGCTCCTGTCCATGAAGCAGTGGTCTCCTTACACGTTTCCAAAGTCTGGGAAGACATCAGCCCTCAGTTCTATACCACATTCTGGTCTCTCACAATGTATGACCTTGCAGTTCCACACACCAGCTATGAACGAGAAGTCAATAAACTCAAGATCCAGATGAAAGCAATTGACGACAATCAAGAAATGCCTCTGAATAAAAAGAAAAAAGAGAAAGAGCGCTGTACTGCCCTCCAGGACAAGCTTCTTGAAGAAGAAAAGAAACAGATGGAGCATGTACAGCGAGTGCTACAGAGACTGAAATTGGAAAAGGACAACTGGCTCTTAGCAAAATCCACTAAAAATGAGACCATCACAAAGTTTCTCCAGTTGTGTATATTTCCTCGATGTATTTTTTCAGCAATTGATTCTGTTTACTGTGCTCATTTTGTTGAGTTGGTTCATCAACAAAAGACTCCAAATTTCTCCACACTTCTCTGCTATGACCGAGTTTTTTCTGACATAATTTACATGGTTGCTAGCTTTACTGAAAATGAAGCTAGTCGATACGGGAGATTTCTTTGCTGCATGTTAGAGACTGTGACTCGGTGGCATAGCGACAGATCCACCTATGAGAAGGAATGTGGAAACTATCCAGGATTCCTTACTATATTACGAGCAACTGGATTTGATGGTGGAAATAAAGCTGATCAGTTAGATTATGAGAATTTTCGACATGTTGTACATAAATGGCATTATAAACTAACCAAGGCATCGGTACATTGCCTTGAGACGGGTGAATATACTCATATCAGGAATATCTTGATTGTGCTAACAAAAATACTGCCATGGTACCCCAAAGTTTTAAATCTGGGTCAGGCTTTGGAAAGAAGAGTGCATAAGATCTGCCAAGAAGAGAAAGAAAAGAAGCCAGACCTGTATGCACTAGCGATGGTCTACTCTGGGCAGCTGAAAAGCAGAAAGACATACATGATACCTGAAAATGAATTTCATCACAAAGATCCTCCTCCAAGAAATGCTGCTACAAGTGTACAAAATGGGCCTTGTAGTGGCCTGCCATCATCCATAGGAAGTACATCTAAGTCAGATGAGAGCAGTATTGAAGAGGCTGACAAGTCACGGGAAAGGTCTCAGTGTGGTGTGAAAGCTGTTAATAAAGCTTCTAGCACCATACCAAAAGGGAATTCAAACAATGGAATTAGTGGCTCTAACACCAAAGCTGTTAAGGAAAATGACAAAGAAAAGGGGAAAGAGAAAGAAAAAGAGAAAAAAGAGAAGACCCCAGCTGTTATTCCAGAGGCTAGGGTACTTGGTAAAGACAATAAAGAAAAACCCAAGGAAGAGCAGCCAAGTAAAGATGAGAAAATAAGAGATACCAAGGAAAGAATGCCTAAATCTGACAAAGATAAGGAAAAATTAAAGAAGGAGGAGAAAGCTAAAGATGAGAAGTTTAGGATCATCGTCCCCAATGTAGAATCAAAATCCACTCAAGAAAGAGAAAAAGAGAAAGAGCCATCAAGAGAAAGAGACTTAGCAAAGGAAATGAAATCAAAAGAAACTGTTAAAGGAGGGGAAAAAACACCAGTTTCTGGGTCCTTGAAATCCCCTGTTTCCCGAACAGATACTGCAGAGCCCGAAAGAGAAAAACGTCGAAAGGTTGATTCCCACCCTTCTCCATCCCATTCCTCCACAATAAAGGACAGTCTGGTCAAACTCAAGGAGTCTTCAGCAAAGCTCTACATCAACCACACTCTACCGCCATTGTGCAAGAGTAAGGAGAGAGAAACAGACAAGAAAGATTTGGACAAGTCAAGGGAAAGATCCAGAGAAAGAGAGAAGAAAGACGAAAAGGACAGGAAAGAGCGGAAAAGGGATTATTCAAACAATGACCGGGAAGTGCCCCTAGACTTAATCAAAAGGCGGAAGGATGAAAATGGAATATTGGCGGTTTCAAAACACAAAAGTGAAATTCCCTGTGAGTCTCCTTATCCAAATGAGAAAGACAAGGAAAAAAATAAGTCAAAGTCCTCAGGCAAAGAAAAAGGTGATTCATTTAAACCTGAAAAGATGGATAAAATATCCAGTGGGAAAAAGGAGTCTGGACATGATAAAGAAAAGGTAGAAAAGAAAGAGAAATGGGACAGTTCTGGAGATAAGGAAGAAAAGAAGCATCATAAGTCCTCAGACAAGCACAGATAATGAAGACTTTCAGCCAAGAGTGTGGGCAGGCCTCTGAGCTAAAGGTTTCCCTGCAGAGGATGCCAGAGCTCTGTGTCACTCTCAAAACAATATCTTCTTTAATTAAGAGCTCTTGGTGCTGTCCATCTTATGAGAATCTGCTTTAAGTCAGAAGATGAATATGCATCACCATCCTCTTGAGACATTGCAAAGTCACTGGTTTTCAGACCATTATTTTCACCTCCGGGCAGTTTCTTGCAGCAAGATCCCTGTGCGTACATTTTTTTCTTGAAACACCACCACCCAGAAACAGCATCTATGAAATTTTCACCAGCTGAGTCTTAGATCACCCTTAATAAAGGTAAGTTGGTTGTTTCCTAGGCTGGATGCTTTGGTATAGGGAAGGCTGCATTTGTGTGTAAAATACAACATTGGAATGATTGTTACCTGACAATTTTGGCTTCTTGCAAAAATTTTAATTTGTTTGTTGGAAAGCTCTTTCTTACATGTATAAATCACAACAGCAGTGTTTTCCTTCAGTGTGCTCTTAAATATGTCATTCCATTTTCCCTTAGCAAGCCTGTAGGATGGCCCAGTGGGTTAAGGTACTTGCCACCAAGCCCAAAGACTGAATTGGATCTCTGGTACCCCCATGATGGAGGGAGAGAACTCTGGTTCACACAGATTGTTCTCTGACCTACACACACACTAAATTAAATATAATGAACATGTTTTAATTTCCCTTGCCCAGAAATTCTCCTGATATGACCTCTTCATCTTAGAGAACTTGCTTCTTAGGCTCCTAATCACAGTCATGGACACTGTGATCTTTACTGGAACATTATTTTTTAATTTGAAATTGAGATTAATTCACCCTTTTAGAGTACAGAGTTCAGTGATCTTTAGCATGTTCATCACATTCTGAAATCACTGTCTAGTCTCAGATTTCTCTCATCTGCAGAAGAAGCCCCAGGTGTGTTGGTGTCCACTTTTAAATGACTCTTCCCCAGCCTCTGGGAACTGCTGATAGAGTTTCTGCCTGTGGGTTTGCCAATTTGTGGCATAACATAAATGGAATCATGAAATAGTGTGGCTTTTGTGTATGGGTTCTTTTATACCTCCATGTCTAATGTGTACTAATAATCCATTCCTTTTTATGGCTTTATGCTTTGCTTATCCATTCATTGATGGACAGGAATAGTAATTTTTAAGTATGAAAATTGTAATTTAAACAGTAGTGTAGCCATAGTTACAGTGGGTGACACCAAGATTATATATAGTATGACTGCTATGTAGAAATGGTACACAAATGATCAGTATTTCGTGTGAGTGTGAGGTTTTTCTAAGGGCCATTTAACTCTGGTTTTAAGAAATATGTGAGTGTAGTATTTTCATCAATAAAAATTAACTACCTTGAATATTAATTTGAAATTTGAATGAGAACATTAAACAAATCGAAATTGTGCACCATGCACTAATGATTGTGTGTTGAATTTATATCACCATTCATATAAGAACTATAGAGTATAATTGAGTCAACATGTTTTATAATAATTTTTGTAATACAGCAAATACTGCATTTTAATACCACTTAAAATTATATCTTCGTAGGGGGAAAAATCCTCTTTTCTTCAATGGAGGACTTCTGGAAGATATTTGAAAATGACTTTGAAAGCACTCATTTTCCCCTGAAAATTGTTCATTTGGTGTGTTAAATTCAATGTACAAGATTAAGAATAATTTAGGTATCATTTCTATGTTTTTTTAGGACCTGCTGTGCATTTACCAGTATATAAGAAATGGGCTATGGTAAGTTGTGGACATTACTGCTCTACCTTCAGAGGGTGATAGAGTCCCAGTTACAGGAAGTCTGGCAGGTGCCTTGCAACTATTTAGGTCTTCCAGAGACTCACTACCTATTTAATCTCCATAGCAAACTTGGAAGGTGAGCACCAATGCTGTTTATAAGTTAGGCAGTCTAGATACAGGGTGGTTAACTGTAGGGAATGAGAGAAAGGGGTTTTGGGTATGTTTGTGGCAGCCAGTCTCCTGTATTCTGTTTTATTATTCACTCTGTTTAATGATTTAGCAAATATTGACTGAAACTCTCCTACTATGTGAGATATAAAAATGACAGATTGTTCTATGTTAGTTCATTACTACATTTTTGCATAAGATTATGGCATGTACCACCAATTCTCAAAACAGTGCCTGGCAGAGCTTTTAGAATCTTTAGTTGTAAATTCAATTCAGTCCTTTTCCTAGTTATTAAAGAACCTAACATAGTACACCAGATCTTGAAAGGATTGATACCTTTAATCGTGTTTACCAACCTTAATCTCATCTGAATAATTTTGGCTTGAAGTCTGCTCTTTCAAATACAAGTTTCGCTACATGGGGTACTTAGATGTTTTTTCATCTAATAGATTAATATATTGATAAAGGCAAAGAGACCACTTGACTGAGTCACATTCCCAAAGCTCCTCTGAACACTGCATAAGGTATGTGACCAAGTCTTGAGTATATGAGTCCTTTGGGGAGACCATTGATATCCCAACTGCAGCATTCCACCTCTGACCCTCGAAACACTCGTGCCAATGTTATAATGCAAAAATAAATTGTTATCTCCAAGTGTGCCAGTTCAAGTACTGTTCAAAAGTCCAAAGCCTCAGACTCAAAGCAAAGGTTTACCTCTGTGAAACTCAAAAATGTGCTACATTCTTCCATGATAGAATGGCACAGAGTAAACATCCCATTACAAAAGAGAATAGTAGAAGAATAGCAAAAATGACTGGACCAGAGTAAGACCAGAACCATCTGGAGTATGGTGCACCCTGTGGTAGTGAGATTGTAGAACCTTGGAGGAGGTCATAGCATGCCTTCTTCACAATAGTGTTCTTTAAAGCCCGTGTGGCCTCATCTGTGGGCTCTGCTCATTGACCACATTGCCCACAGCTTTTCTTAACATGTGGTCCACATTCCTGGCATGTCCAAGTTCTGGACCTTCAGTTGAAGCCTCAGCTATACTCTCACAGCTTTATATGTTGTGCCACTCTCTTTGGGGCTGCTTGCAGGGATTCCAACCCCGATCATCTATTCTTCCAAGGTTTCCTTTAAAATCTAGATAAAAGCTAGGATTTCCCCTCATAGTCTTCTCAGTTTGAAATTTTAATAAATGTAATGAGGGACCTGGGTCATTTTATCTCTCAGGCCCAGACAGAACTATATGAAGGCTGAGTCCAGCCCTGCCTTACCTACTTAGAGTGCTTGAGTCAAAACATGGGCTGAATGTATGGCACTGATCCCCAGCAGATCCACAGTGCAGTGATTGCATGAGCGGCCTCCAAGCTACTCCAGGCAACAGAATTCATAAGACAGTTGGAGTGTCCCTCTCACTAGAGGTGCTCTCCCTTTATGCACATGAGTATGAGAATGGCTGAATAGTGCTCTGTTTCCATCAGATTACTCTGAGCACTGTGAGTGGGTGAGGTGATCAACCAAAGCAATTTTCTCTCCATGCACACTGAGCCTTCGCATGTTACCCACATGTGGCTAGATTGTTCCTCTTCTTAGAGGTCTGGCAGTGTTTCTCAGTTTGATCCACATTTTCATTCATACCACTATGTCTGTCCCATGGACCTGTGTCCAGTTCAAATCAAAACCAGGTTCCTGGGCCTATGGTTCTCAGTGTGGTCTCTTACCCAGTTGACTTGGGGCTTAGGGCAGAAAAATAGGTGGACCACTGATTTCCCTGCTCCAGCCGTAGAGTTTGATGAGGTAAACACCCTCTGGATATGGTTCCCCACCTTGGCTCACAAGCTAGAAAGTGCAGGGAACACCTTCTTGATGTTTACTCTCTGTGGAGATCACACTTCTCATAAACTGTTTTTGCAGCCCCAGATTCTGTGTCTGGCTATTGTCAGGGTTTTCTTTCTTTTCTTTTCTTTTCTTTTTTTTTTTTTTTTTTGCCTAAGACTCCATTGAGGAAGATTCTTCCCCACCTACCCTGTCACCAGGTGTCAAAATAGGATGTTTTTTCTTCTACAAATACAAAGTGCCTCTCACTACCAAATTCTGTCTTAATTGTGTACTACTCTTTCTTTCTGTACTGCCCTCCTGTCCCTGTAGTCATCCTCCTTTGTGTCAGTCTTCGTCTGAAGGACTGCACTGGGTAGCTCTCATCTGCTACCTTCCCTCTATAACATGTTTCTATTAAAATCACTTAAAGTGTGAGTTGGTGAGGACTTGTCTGATATCAAAGCTTAATGATAATGAGTATATATTTGTACATGGGCATATCTGCAGGAGCTTGTCCATTTTGATACCAATGCTTTAAATACCTTGTGCATTAGATGAAGGTATGTATTCTTAAAATTACTGAAGACAATCCAAAGAAGTTTTGAACACTCAGGCTGTTTCAGAGTGGGCCTCCTGGTATCCTCTTGCTATATTGGCCCTGAGCAAGCATTGTGGCCAAAGTCCTCTTTTTTTTTCGAGACAGGGTTTCTCTGTGTAGCTTTGCGCCTTTCCTGGAACTCACTTGGTAGTCCAGGCTGGCCTCGAACTCACAAAGATCCGCCTGCTTCTGCCTCCCAAGTGCTGTGTTTAAAGGCGCGCGCCACCACCGCCCGCCCCAAAGTCCTCTTTTTAACCATGTGTCTTGATTCTGTGAGGTTATCTAGATTATTTTATGGAAACTATCTGAATTACATCACAGTATACATATTTTTGATGACCAGATTATGTCAACTACCCAGTATACACTCTGTTTAGTGTTGTTTAGACAGAAATTTAGCAAAAGTTAGTTTTAGAGAAAAGGTACTAAATGATCTCAAAAGCTGTAGTCTCCATGTTAATGATGGTATTGATTCTTCTAACACTCCTTTTCCTAGTTCCTATAGAGCATGAGCATGTCCTCAATCTGCAGTGCCTTTTCCAATGTGCTACTTCATCTCACATCATTGATAAAGAGAAATTTGTACAGCTCCTACTATGTGCCAGACCCTGTTCAAAGATAGAGTATCTCCTCTTCCTCACAGAATGCCTCTAAGGTGAGTACCATTATATTTCATATGAAAACACAAAGGCTGAAAACGAAACTCCTTTCTCTGTTCTCTGTAATTTTTACTGGAGACATTGTGTCATCTAGTCCCTGAGTCACACACCAGGGAAGGCAGCCTTGGGACTGAGATTCAGTGGCACAGGCTCTGTGAACAGACATCCTTGTGTGGGTTCTTCATACTTTTAGGGACTAAATTGACATACTAAATCTCAGGACCTTCATTTCTGAAGTAACTCTGAGGATTCAGTAAGAATCATCATGTGTGTTTACCCAGAGTGAAAAAATTTATGTTAAATACCTTATTTTACGAGGAAACTAGTGCCTGTAATTGACACAAGACACAAATGTTCTGATGATTTTATTGTTTCTGTTGCCTGTTTTTGTTTTGGGGGTTGTGTTTGTTGTTTGTCCTTTTAAATTAGTTGGATCTACACAAGTGGAATTGTGTAGAGTGGAAGAAGAGAACGAGAGTTACCTCTGGAGAACAGTTGCAGTGGAGCAGGCTATTTATTACCTGAATGTGTCAAGAAGTAGGGAGGAACCAGCTGCCCACATTGCTGGCTTTGGAAAACATCTGGCTGGATCAAGAAACCTAGTCAACTTTTAGTGACTTTTCATTGTACAACACCAACATCAACCTGTTCTGTGGGTCAGGTGTGTACTGCAGGCTTATGGCCTTCCTATTTCTAACCAGTTGTCTAGACATGTCCTATTCTGAATATGGACTAGGGAAAAATACCCTTCCTGCCACTACATTGACAAAGGATACTAAGGGTCCAGGCTGATAGCAAGGTAAGAGTTGAAGCTACAGATTGATGGGATAAGAGTATTTGACAAACGGATAGAAGAATATTATGATTTATAGAGGACTTTAATTCCAGGGTGCTGGAGATGTAGCTCAGTTGATAGAGTGCTTGCCTAGCATGCACAAAACCTGGCTTGATTCCCCAGGACCACTTAAATGGGTTATGGTGGTCTGTGCCTGTGATGCTATCCTTGGGAAGTGAAGGCAGGAGATTAGAAGTTTAGCATAATCCTCAGTCCTCAGCTACTTAGCATATCTAAGGCCAGCCCAGTCTACATGAAACAGTCCCAGTCAATCAATCAAAACAAAATAAAACAACAACATTTTAAATAGAGGAGAGCTAGTTCAGCTGGTAAAGTGCTTACTGAGGAAGCATGTTGACCCAAGTTCAGGGTCACAGCTAGGCATAGTAGCACACACTTGTAATCCTAACACTGGGGTGGGGGTGGGGAGGGCACTGAAGAGTGACATCCAAGATAGACCTCTGGCTTGTGCATGCACCCACACACATGAACATACAGATGCTCAAAAGAACCTTAATCCAGTGTAAATTCATCCCAATTCTGTAAGCTTTCTAGAAAAAGCACCCCTTCCCAACCCCCACCCCTACCCCCAGCAACTGCCTTTAACCATTACTGGGGTAATCAGTATGTTCACCATTGTTTTTCATGACTCCTTTCTCCTTTCCCTCCTTTTTCCATTCACAGTTGACAGCCACACTTTCAGATCAGTCAGAGAATTCAGGGGCCTGGTAGGTTCCCAGTTGTTTGCCCATGTTTAAGAATCTCCCAAGACACAAAGTTCTTTCAAAAACTTTGATGATGCTACCATGACCACTCTGGGAAACAGTAAGGAAATAGACACACTTCACTAGCTTCTCTGGGAACTCTTATTTGCTGATGCATTGATCCTGTATTTCTCAGACAAAGTATTTGTACAGGTACTGTTTTTGGCTCTTGGGACATATCAGTGGGAAACACAGACCCTTACCCACACAGCTTGCTTTAAGCAAGAATGAGATGGATGGTGAACAGTAAACAAAATAAACTGTGTAGTACCTTAGATAAACAGTGCATCTACCGTAGATCAAAATGTCAAGCAGAGCAAGGAAGGTTCACAGTTCACACTGAGTATCATGTTGCAACACTGGAAGATCAGTCACATGGATTACACATATATTACCATTCAATATAGTCTCATAATATATATGTATACTTTGTCATAATTTTCTACATTAAATTCAGTTCTGCTTTAATTTCACAAACTCAGCGCTGGCCAGTTGTAACTAAGATGAATCAAAGTGCATTGTAATTACTGTCAAGCTTTTTCTAATGATTCCTGTGAAAAACAGGACAGGAGAATGATAGGCAGGTAAGTGACAATTAAAAGTCAATAGAATGTCTTGAGTATATCTTTCACTCCCAAGATTTTAAGGATGAACATAATCAAGGCAGTTCCTCCATGACTTTACAGTTTTCTTGGTTTCTGGATGCGGTTGACAGATTCAGAGCCACATCTTAAGATGCATAGATCACTTTCTTCTCTTGAGTTCACTCTGAGGCTGTCACAAGGTAATGCATTTTCAGTATTGCTCTGTTGAAAATACACTTCAAAAGTTAACTAGTAAAGAATGGAAGATTTGACAAAGGAGAGGGATTCTCATTTAACCACAGTTCTTGTCTTGATTGCTGATGTTAGAGCTTACATGAATTCTGAAAGGACAGCCTCCAGGTGTGGCCACTTGTCCAGAAATGGAGGCAGTGGTAATATTGACTGTTAAATTTAGAAACTTTCAAATTATGCAGCTGGGCATTTTATTTTGCTAATAAGATGGTGCCATTAAGTGTATCATTTCACTTTCTCAGTATGACATCTCTCCAGTGGGAACTTGTCAAGAAAAGTCTTCTAGTTATAGTAAACACACAAGATCAGTGCCATCAGTGTGGCTGTAAACAGTATTTCAGACCACAGCAGGTTCTGAGTACTGTGGTCTGTAAAGCCCTGGGAAGGGGAGAAAACTATCCCAAGGCCAACTCTGCACTTGTAATATGATGTGACGTAACTGAGTGACTGGTCCAGTCCCTAAGAAGTGAGGGTTGGAGTGCTGCTGAAGCACACATGGGACATGAAATTGGGGCATTAAGGAAGGTCGAGGGAAGCAGGGGCTGCAGGAGATGAAGGTGGAGGAGGATCTACTAAGATAGTGTTCAGAGATGCCACAGTGTAGCCTAATACCTTATATGCTATTCTTCAGTCCAAGGCTTGTGTTTTCTCATAGTGTAGAATGCCATCCAGCTCTTAGAAAGGCTTATTTGTTGATGAATTTTTTTATTTAAAAATTATACAGTAATCAAAGAATTAAATATATACACACACGTGTATTTTATGATCTAAGATATATGCATATGTTTATATGTGTGTGTATGTGTTTATCTTAGGTTCTATGCATATCCTAAGAAGGAAATAATACTTTGGGGTAGATGGTCTTATGAAGTCTTCTTTCATAGCCCATGCTCCTACATGGAACTAGTGATGATGATCAACATTATTTTTTAACAGGTTGATGTAACTTGTGGTAGCAGGTTTTTGTTATTGCTTTTTTTCTTTTCTTTCTTTTTTTTTTTTTGTTAAGAAAATTTTGTTTTCATTTTACACACCAATCAGAGATCCCCCCTCTTCCCTCCTCCCTCTCTTCCCCCCCAACCGACCAACCCATTCCTCCCCACAAGAAGGCAAGGCCTCCCAGGGGGAGGCACATCCAGTAGAGGCAAGTCCAAGCCCTTCTCCCTGCCTCAAAGCTGCACAAGATGTCCCATCATAGGTAGTGGGCTCCAAAAAGCCCCCTCATGCTCCAGGGATGAATTCTGATTCTACCACCAGGGGGCCCCCCAAGCAAATCAAGCTACACAATTGTCTTGCCATGCAGAGGGCCTAGTCCATTCCCATGCAGGCTCCACAGCCATTGATCCAACTTTCATGAGTTCCCACTAGTTTGGTTTGGTCATCTCTGCAGGTTTCCCCATCATGATCCTGATGCACTTGCTCATAAAATCCCTCTTTTCTCTCCAACTGGACTCCTGGAGGTCTGCCTAGTGTTTGGCTGTGGATCTCTGCATCTGCCTCCATCAGTCACTGGAGAAAAGCTCTGTGATGACAGTTAGGGTATTCACCAGTCTGATTACTGGAGCAAGCCAGTTCAGTTCAGGCACCTTCTCCACTATATTTAGTAGCCCAGGCTGGGGCCATCCTTGGGGATTCCTGGCATCTTCCCTAGCACCGAGTTTCTCTCTATCCCCATGGTATCTCCCTCCATCATGGTATTGTTCTCGTTGCTTTCCCACTCCATCCCTGTTCCAGCTCAACCATCCCATTCCTTTCTGTTCTCATCCCCCTTGCCCTACCCTCCATTGCCCACCCCTCACCCCATTTTGCTTATGGAGATCTCATCTATTTTCCCTTGTAGTGGAAGGACAATAGATGGACTGGCTTTCCTGATTCTGCCTATGCATTGTTGTGGCTTAATTTTAATGTAGATTATTGGTTGAATTGCCAGGCAGCATGGTGTAAGTGATCTGCTACATCACAGCTTTTGATTTCTTCTTGGCAGTCTGTGAGATTTTCTTCTGTTTCTTTATCCTTCACTATGTGGTGGAAGACATACTGAAAATTTAGATTCTCAAACTACACTATCAGGAATTTATGTAATTGCTTGGATATTTTGATCATCATGATAGGTTGGAGAACAATACTTAAAGCTGTACTGTATTATAAAAGCATGTTAATTACAGTTTCTGGTTCATCATTGTGAATGTTTATATTCAAAATTTCAGTTATTTCAACTTCTGTGAGTACTCTCATTTTTGTAAGAAACTGTTGCATGAATCTTAAAGAGTCTTGTTAATAAAATCAAACCTGAGGCCAGGTATTGGGGTGACTGCTGGAAGATCAGAGAAGCAGAACAAACCACAGCAACCTCACCTTGCCAATTCCTCAGCTGATCCTGTTTCCTCAGACTGGAAGCTTCTGAGTCCTCATCCGAATGGCTCTCAGCTGAACTGTTGCTCCAAAGCCTGAAAGCTTAACCAGCCAAATACTACTAGTTTCTGGTTTTCATGCCTTTTATATATCTTTCTGCTTTCTGCCATCACTCCCTGGGATTAAAGGCTCACCTCTTGGGATTAAAGGCGTGAGTCACCATGCTTGGCTGTATCCTTGAACACACAGAGATACAGGTAGATCTCTGTCTCTGGAATGCTAAGATTAAAGGCGTGTGCTACCACTGCCTATCCTCTATGTTTATTATTGTGGCTGTTCTGTGACCCCAGATCAGTTTATTAGCGTGCACAATAGGGGAACACAATACCACTGCAAGAAACCTTTCTGAGTATGACATGCATGGTGTTTACAGTACCCTCTCAACCATACTGATCATGAGAATAACTCATGAGCTCATATTTATCTTAACATGAGACAAAATTAATTTTTTCTTCAACTGATAATAAAAATTAATATTTAAGTGAAAAAGTGTAAAATTAGAGCAAGAAGAAACAGCATGGAATATTTTTTATAGGAGACATAGTGTAGAATGTCACAGGGAACAGAAATTGTTAGATCCATCAAGGATTTCTGTATGAGAAGCAAGAAAGCATAAGGGAGAATGATGGTGTCAGGGAAAGACATCTTTCAGATGTTGTATCTCTGGCTTCTGATAGACATTCATCTTATTTTCCCCTCAGCTAAGTCACTTAACTAAGCATTGTCCTAACTCACTTCCTTCCAGAGGTCTTGTGGAAAGACTAATTTTTATAAACTTTTCTTTGATAATTTCAGACCTTTTGTTACACCATGTTATACATTTGGATGTATAAGTATGCCTGATTGTTAACTGCTTAAATATTTGGTTTGTGTATCTTGCCACATATTATTTTGTGTCCATGCTCCCTGTCCTAAAAAATGACCCCTTGAAATTGTGGGAAATTCTGCATTACTCTGTTGACATTTTTTTCTTCTATTTGCTGTCCTCTTGACAGTGATTATTGCCTCCGCCCACTTTCTAAAATTCATGTGACCCTGTAAATAGATTATGAATAATTTTCCATTAAATCTTTTTGACACAGATAATATGAGGTTGGTGAGGTGTCTGAGTGGGTAGATGCTTTTTCTGCCAAGCCTCCCAGCCTGAGTCTAATCCCCAGACCCACATGATGAAGAACAGAAAGGGCTCCCACAAGTTGTCCTCTTACCGCCTCACATGCTGTGGCCTCTCCATACACATACTTAAAAATACGATGTAAGTTTACTGTCCACCTGGGAGAGAATGAACACATAGGCCATGAAAGAGAACTTTGTGGCTATGTCTTGCATTACATCAGCATTAGTAGCAATAATGATCCTAACAGCTTACTCTTCAGAAGCTAGTGTGATTTAGGTTGTACACATAACTGTCTCTTTATTTGGTGAAGTAAGAGAAGAGCAGATGTGTGAAAGTCAGAAAAATAAAGAAAAATAAGAATTTAAAAAGAAAAAAAAACAAATGAAGATGATATTTAGCAAATAGAAGGGGCTGGAGAGATGGCTCAGTGGATAAGAGCACTGGCTGCTCTTCCAGAGGACCCAGGTTCAATTTCCAGTACCACATGGCACCTTAAAACCATCTGTAACTCCAGTTCTTCTGGTGCCTCCGCTGACCTCTGGCTACTGCATGTATGTTGCACACAGACATATGTGCAGACAAAACACTCATACACACAAACTAAAGCTAATCTTTAAAAAAAAAAAAAGGAAATAAGTAGAAATTGATCTGCATGAAGGTGACAAAGACAGCATGCTTTCCCATTTGAACTTGTTTGTTATAGAATCACCTCCCGTGCTTGTGAATGCAGGCACACATACATACATGCACAAATGCATACAAACAGCCTTGTACACATCCAGTAGATTTGTTTTACTGCTTAGTAGTTCCCTTTTGAGTGACTAACTCTCATAAATGCTATTGGATGAGTATCATGGTCAACTATAGAGTTCATACAGTGGTGGGGAAAAATGAGTCCTACTCAATAAAGTTCATGTTTTTATTCTCTACTTACAATAGTAACTATGTAATAATATATATACCAGATATTGAGGATGGAGGGACTTTTTTTTTTTTTTCAGGGTAATTGAAGTTTTTTGCCCATCTTTGTGCATCTGGCATACTGAGAGTACACTTATACAATATAGTTTCTATCACTGTATTTTTTTTTCTGGGTTGAGGTAACATATATGATTCAATATTTTTTTCTTTTTCAAGTCACTCAGAAGGTGGCAGTGCAAAGCTGCTCCATATTTTACATCAGGTATGCTGTGACCATTCCTCTCCTATGAATGTGGCAGCTTCTGTTATTTGGATTCTTGTTAGATAAAACCCTACACATTTTAACACATGCAGTAAGAGGCCATTAGTATGTTCTCTGAGCCTGGAGCCTTAGACTAACACTGGGAACCATCTGAATTTTACTTCATAGTAAAATGAGCAAGTGAGGAAAAAGGATGTAGAGAAAGAAAAGAAAGAAAATGTGAAGTTGAAGAAAGGAATAGATTCTGTACCTAGAAATGTAGGGGAAGGATCCCTTCTTTTAGGGAAGAGGCCAGAGGGAAATTCACATGGCAACAGTTCCTCGCACAAGGTAGCCACTCAAAAAATACTGTTTGAGCAAGAGGATAGATGTTGGTGGGTTGAATAAGGAAAGCAAGCATGTTGTAACTCTTCTGTTATTATAGTAAATATAAATAAATACAGTAAATATAGCAAAACTTACATTGTCCATATTTTAAGCCATTCGGTGACATTAACTACGTTCATCGTGGTGGTCAACAATCACCAGTGCATTACCATACTTTCCCATAGTCCTAACATGAAATCATATATGCTAGCCATAGCTTTTCATCCTCTCCTTGTGCCAGCCTCTGTACTCACTATTATTTCCTGTGAGTTGAGTAAATCTAAATGCATCATCTAGAACCATACATTAAAGTCACATCTTTCCTGTTAATGGTGGAGTTATATTCAGGTGTGTGCTTAGACTACATTGTATTGTCCATTCATCTGCTAATATTGTCCTTCTCTTTAGCAGCTCTTGAAATTCATGTTCTAACAAGACCATGAGCCAGCTCTTACAACCGTGTCATGATGTGCCATTATGTTCTTCACTGTTTCCTTGGCATACTCTCAGTTGGCATGGCTCATCATTGGCACTCAGTTGGATGACTTAAGTGCCTTCCAAGAATACATGTAAGTATTTATCAAATCACATAGAAAAATTTAATTGTCATTGCATTCCCAATATGTCTCTGATGCACATATTCCATCTTTCAAATAGAAATCAAGATAGTAGGGAGAAATATGTTTATTTCAGAAAATGTAGAGATAATTTATTTTTCATTGAGTCACAGTTTTGAGCCTTAATGCTGTGCTTCTCCCATGGTTTTTCATTTATCCAAGTTACTATATATGTTTATTCAATGCTTTTTAAAAGAGAGTTGCAAGTGCGTATTTGTAAAGGTGCCTTCAATGGGGATTTGCTCAGCAGCAGAAAGTGCTGTTAGTGCCATCATTGTCACTTGCTAGCATGACTTCATTCTCCTTTTCCTCTCTTCCGTATTTTATGGTTTTGAATTAACAAGGCAAATTAGAGCTAGGGTATCAGGAGTAGTATTTAGTGAATTATTTGCTTGTCAAGAGTAAGGTACTTTATTTTAACTTACTCAGTTCATATTTCACATGTGTAGTGACAGCTTAGAAAGAATATACATGACTACTTTAAATCTCATAATAAATGGAAATTATTTTCAAAGTCATTAAAAAAAACTTTGATTCTCTTGGTCTGTTCCAACTTAACATTTTTTTGGGTGGCATCATGATTGAGACAGTCTCACTATATACTTCTGGTTGGCCTGAAACTTGCTACATAGACCAGGTTTGTCTCAAACTCATGGAGAGCCGCCTGCCTCTGCCTCCCAACTGATGGGATTAAAGGCGTGTGCCACCACTCCAAGCCCCAGCCTAACACTTAACTATTTTACATTAAGTAAGATTTTTTTATTAAGCTATTTAGCTTAATTTAGGCAGTGTGTGTGTGTGTGTGTGTGATCTCACATTTAAGACTTAGTTTATGTGAGAAGCCATCCTTTAAGAGTACCAGCATTGTTTCCATAGTCAGTAAATTTGGAAAGGTCCTTTGCAAAGCATTGAGTGATATTTTTAGTAGTTTACCATTAGGTCATCAAAGTTGTGTCCCTGGTGTATTGGTTGTATTCACTAAGCACTAGAGACTCCTTACTAGGACTGACAAGAAGCAGCATTTGCTGCATGCAAGTAATTGGCAGTTGTTATCATAACTCTCTCTAGTATCTTCTTAAAAAAGAACTTACCCGCCTTGATTACTTAGTTCATGCTGCAAAATTGTGCCCTTTAAGGTCCCTGGTACAGTCCTACACTGCCTTGTAAAAATGTCTTTTGGTTTTCTTCTTTTCAGTGCTATTATCAACCTAGGGCCTCCCTTCTGCTCCAGAAAGTGCCCAATTCTAAAGATAGATTCTTGGTGACAGGGTGTTGCTGACCTAGGTGCTCTTAGAAAAGCACTTTTGTTTGGAGTTGGATATCTTTCTGAAACATGCTGGCCTCTATTCACCCGCTCTCCTTTGCCCCTGCATAGGACTGTTTCGTTTAAATCGGATACTAATGAGCTGGTCTCTGTCTTAATCATCTCTAGGAAGGACCTTGGCAGTCGTCACAGAGCATGGCCAGGGTGACACCAGACACTGAGCATGATCTTCAGCAGAATGAAGTCGGAGTCTAGTGCGGAGGGCCCGTTTAATGTCACACCCACCGTGATTGGTAGTCCACTTCCCATCCTCCTCTACTCCTGTCTCAGCTTCTGAAGGAAACTGGCTTTTGCATGCAGTGTTTGTCTTGTCAGTACTTCAGTTACAGTAGGGTTTTTTGCCTAGTGCTTCAGCTATATTGCAGTTCTCAGGATCTGCTGTAATATAATTACTGGCTTCTGGTGGAGGTGTATTGTCTTGGCTATTTGTGTTTGCGTTTCTTTGCACTTCTGGAGTTAATGATGTTTGAAGTTTTTCTTGGTGTTGATAACTGCTTTTTGTCTTTTGGTGGTGATTACATATGTCCCCTCTGGATCCTAGGCTGGGTGGTTGTGGGGTCCCTAGTATAGAGAGCTGCAGGTCAGTGGGTGGCAAAAGGACATGGAGATGGGCTAGGAGGGAAGGCTGAGCGTGGTTAGGGCTAATGCTGGGGCATGAGGTCTGCACCAAAAGGCTGAATCCCCAGGGAATGGAACTTTGGTCAGATGGTGGGCTTCTGCACTCAGGCTGCAGCAGGACAAAGACAGGGATAAAGGGCTAGGGGAGCCCTGGGTCCACACCCAGAAGTGGTCCCAGTGAGTAGTGTTGGAGTAGGAGGAGGGGCTCCTGAAAGCAGGCTGCTCCAGGACTAAGTAAGTCAGGAGAGACTTTAATGGAGGACAGGAAGGATAGTGAGAATCTCCTGAGTCCCAGCCCAGTGTGACTACTGAGGGTCCCTGTTAAAGTGTTTCTAGGGATAGGCAGCTGACACACAGGAATGGAGATGACCTAGAAGGAAGGCTAGGAGAGAGTTAAGCTGGGTTTGCCTGGTTTTGTTGGTTTGGTTTTGCTATATGACCTTAAAAATTTTAAGGCATTGAAATTTTTGTTTTCATAAAATTTTGTAAAAATGGGTTCTTAAAAACTAGATGGGGCTTGAGAGATGGCTCGGTAGTTAAGAGCACTGGCTGCTCTTCCAAAGGACCTGGGTTCAATTCCCAGAACCCACATGGCAGCTCACAACTGTCTGTAACTCTTTTTCCAGAGGATCTGGCATCCTCACACAGACACATGCAGGCAAAACACCAATGTATATAAAATATAAATAAATTATTTTTTTTAAAAAAAGAACACCTTTAAGGGTTGCAGACTTGACTTGGTAAGTACAGTGCTTCCTGCATAGACAGACATGAGAACCTGAGTTCAGATTCCCAGCAACAAAATAAAAGCTAGGCATGTGGTGCATACACTGTAACCCAGTACAGGCAGCGTGATGCAGTGGGCAGATGCCAGGGCTCGCTGGCAGCCCCAGCCAGCCACATAACAAGTTCAGGGTTAGTGAGAGATCTTTTCTCAGGGAAGAAGGCAGACAGCAGTAGAGGAAAATGCTTCACAGTGACCCGTGGCTTCTAAATGCATGTACACACGCAGTCAGTCACACATGACCTATTTACACACATGTATGTACACAGCACACACAACTTTTTAAAAAAATAAAACTTTGGGCAGTTGTAGTTGTTTCAATGGGAAGACAACAGACATCTCATGCTCTAGTCAAGAAGTCTTCAATTCATGTTTTTAAGGCATTTATGTAATATTTTTATACAAAGTAATCAGATAAGAGAACATTATTTTCATACTGCTTTGTGGTGATATTATGTTCCCCAATATATTGTGAACACTAATAAACTTATCTGGGGTCAGAGAACAGAACAGCCACTACATACAGAGGCCAGAAAATGGTGGCACACACACCTTTAATCCTAGCATTCTGGAAGCAGAGATCCATCCATATCTCTGTGAGTTCAAAGCTACACTGGAAACAGCCAGGTATGGTGACACACACCTTTAATCCCAGGAAGTGATGGCAGGAAGCAGAAAGGTATATAAGGCGTGAGGACCAGGAACTAGAGCTTTTGAATGGCAGTTCAGTTGAGATCCATTCAGATGAGGAC